CGTATCTGCATTTAATCTACAAATGTCGTCGAAAGACGATAGTCTTGCGTGTGTAGAAAGTGAACAAAACATTTATTTGATGTTATGCTCAAGAAAATCGGTGAATGGTGTTCTGGAGGCGTTGCGTTAGAGTGCCTCGAGCGTGCAGCGGAGGCGAACGAACGCATCAACTCACGTCACACGTGAGACATAAGCGTCATCTGGTAGTTTCTTTCAAAAACAAAGCGCCTGGCTCTGAGACGGGCGTGCGCGCCCGCCTCAGAGGTGATAAGGTGTAGAACGCAAGGCGACGGGTAGGTGTCACCACCGTCTCGTCTTAGCAAAGCGTTGGAAACACTCGCCTTTCCGTGCAAGCGTTGGATGGTCAGCGCAGCGTGATGAGTGCTACGATTCTTGAAATTACTTATGTATGCCTTTTCTAGTAAAAGACATACATGCAGAATATATACGTGTTGTTATGGTGCGCCTAGACACGCGCAATAATTGCTTTTTAATCAACAATTGCACACGTACGAACGCTGAATGTTGAGCAACATGGGGGGGGGGGGGCGCTGCGGCAGGGGTCGGCTGTTTCAAATACCTAATGCTGTTAAGAGTGGACAAACAGACAAATGTACAGACAGACAGACAGACAAACAAAAATTTTTGCGTCGAAGGTCCCCAAGAAAGACTATCGTCTTTGTAAAAGTGCTTGCGCTCAAGTTGTGTCACTGCGCGGTGTCGTGTTCCCGACAAGCTGACCCTCGTTGGTGTAGCGCTGTATTGCGGATGTGCTGTCGTTACGTGGTTGTGATTCCTGTTTCTTGTGGTGCACTCTATCTCATCTTTCCGCTGTAGTGACCGTGATCTGCTACTGGCATGAAGTGCTACGCTATTGAAATGCTATATACTCGCCGACCGAAATATCGCCTCAAAGGTGAGTGTAAGCAAGGCTGCCATCACTCCGCGAGATTTTATCTGTGTGCTGTTGATGTGTAACCATCGCACCGTGTAAACGTATACATCGTTTGATTCATGTGTATGTTCTCCTACGTAATACACCCTTCGGGGACCTTAAGGGTATTATGAAATAAATACATAAATGGGAATGATGCGTTGCACACGGATTCGTCTAATCTTTGTTCTCCTGGCTGCGTTAGACTTCGCCTGGCTTGGAGCTGCGTTGTCACGAGACGACAATCGGCAAAGCTTTAGCAGTTACGCTTCACCACCTTAGTCCTTTAGGCCCACCATTTCAAAGCGGGTTACGAAGTTCGCAATGGCCCCTTGTTCGAAACACGACCAAAACACTGCAATAAACGAAGGTGCACGAGTGCGTTCGAATCCCTCAGGCACGTATACACTAGGCAAACCCGGGTACGACCCATCATTCCTATGCGTGGTCGCTGATCGGTCGCAGTGCCAGAACCTCCTCTAGTTAAGTTTAGGAAACTTTACGTAGGAAGCTGTGGCCTCTGCCCCTTACACTCTCTAATCAATCACGTGACGGTGTCGGGGAAGGAGATTCTGCAGACGCGCGATGAACCCACGTGCTCCTGCGTCGCGTGGCGATGAACCGGGGTGACGTGCTACAACAATAGTTCGGGACGATCAACAGCGACAGATATATATACTTGCAAGGACGCGTTAACATCGAGCAAGGTGGCCGTGATGAACGACACTTTAGGTCGAGCCATGCGCCGCTTGGCATGCTATAGTTCGTGGTTTCCTTTAAAGGGTGATAGTGTAATTCTAACGCGATGGCGTTACAGAGCTCCTTTAGCGAAAATTCCGGCGTCGGCGTAGTTATGGGCAAAAGTCATCGATTTAGCGTCACCTAAACATCATCATCATCATCATCATCATCATCAGCCTGACTACGTCCACTGCAGGACAAAAGCCTCTCCCATGTTCCGCCAGTTAACCCGGTCCTGCGCTTGCTGCTGCCAATTTATACCCGCAAACTTCTTAATCTCATCTGCCCACCTAACCTTCTGTCTCCCCCTTACCCGCTTCCCTTCTCTGGGAATCCAGTCAGTTACCCTTAATGACCTGCGGTTATCCTGTCTACGCGCTACATGCCCTGCCCATGTCCATTCCTTCTTCTTGATTTCAGCTATGATATCCTTAACCCCCGTTTGTTCCCTAATCCACTCTGCTCTCTTCTTGTCTCTTAAGGTTACACCTACCATTTTCTTTCCATTGCTCGCTGCGTCGTCCTCAATTTAAGCTGAACCCTCTTTGTAAGTCTCCAGGTTTCTGCTCCGTAGCTAAGTAGCGGCAAGATACAGCTGTTATATACCTTCCTCTTGAGGGATAGTGGCAATCTACCTGTCATAATTTGAGAGTGCTTGCCAAATGTGCTCCACCCCATTCTTATTCTTCTAGTTACTTCAATCTTGTGGTTCGGCTCTGCGGTAATTACCTGCCCTAAGTAGACATAGTCTTTTACAACTTCAAGTGCACTATTACCTATCTCGAAACGCTGCTCCTTGCCGAGGTTGTTGTACATTACTTTCGTTTTCTGCAGAATAATTTTAAGACCCACCTTTCTGCTCTCCTTGTCATCGGCGAAGCGCAGGTTACTAAGGTATTCTCCATTGACTCTTATCCCTAACTGTTCCCATTCTAGTCTTCTGAAAACCTCCTGTAAGCACGCGGTAAATAGCATTGGGGAAATTGTGTCCCCCTGCCTTACACCCTTCTTGATTGGTATTCTGTTGCTTTCTTTATGAAGCACTATGGTAGCAGTTGATCCCCTGTAGATTTCTTCCAGAATGTTTATATATACTTCATCTACGCCCTGATTCCGCAGTGTTTGCATGACGGCTGATATTTCTACTGAATCAAACGCCTTCTCGTAATCTATGAAGGCTATGTATAGTGGTTGGTTATACTCTGAGCATTTCTCTATTACCTGATTGATAGTATGAATGTGGTCTATTGTTGAGTAGCCTGTTCGAAATCCTGCTTGTTCCTTTGGTTGATTGAATTCTAATGTTTTCTTTACTCTGTTAGCAATTACCTTTGTAAATAGCTTGTATACTACAGAGAGCGAGCTGATCAGAGAGGTGACCTAAACATCAAGGGAAGTACAAATAAAAGTAATATTAAGAATTTCTCGTCGAACCCGAGTTGTTTGCGTAGAAAGCGGTTGTTCAGTTACACAGCCTCTGCTTGTGAATACAGTGAAAATGACTTCATCTGCTTTAAATGCAGTTAAAGTGGCTCCCACGCTTTACAAGCACATGCGGCGTACATACATGCTTCGCAATTGATCGCGATACATTGCTGTAATAATGCGTGGTACGAGCGTACATTGCCATCAGGCGTCAGAACATGGCATAATGATGATGACTTCATAGTTCAACATCAGTCACCCACTACAAAAGGCACACATGCTATTGCACCCTTAAAGCCACGTAGTGGCAAATATTTCATACTCTAAGTAATTCAAGTACGTACTATAGAAACAGAATATCACTACCGCGTTCAACTCTTAAAGGGGTACTGACACAAAAACTTTGGCCTGGAGTTTTTCTGCCGCAATGTGTTGCTGGGGGCCTGTTAGTCATGACACGACACATCGTTTACTGCAGCACGCGACAGATAATTATTTACAGGCCCCTTATTATGATGGATCAGTTTCGGTTTCAGAGAGTTCCAAAAGCTGGGTGCAACTGTCGCCACCTAGCGTGCGCAGCTTTTGACCACTTCAGCACACAGAACGGTGACACACTTCCGCACGGTCCGCATCAAGAAATACATTGGAATAGGAAACGGGACTGCAATATAGCAAAACACAGAAATTTCTAAGCCTGCGCCACGGCCACGCACTCCCAACCAGCCGCCGAGAAATATCGACTGCGGTAACAAACGAGGCAAAAGAAAAAATGGCGGCTATGACGTCATCGTAACTTGTTTTGTTGACTGCAGCGTAATGACGTGAGGGATGTATGGGGTCACTTAGGGGTCCCCTTAGATGGTGTCAATGGCACGATGGAGTCGAAGGCTCACGTAAATTTAAAAGTTCTTTTAAAATACCTTCCCAGCTATATTCTCCGTTCATATTTTGCAGATGATATACGAATGTTCCTGGGAATCAACCCTACAGGCTATCTAGGCCACGAAATTTCGTGTCAGTGTCCCTATAAAGGGGAAGCTTAAGGCTCCTCCAATTTCGTTTTTCTTCTTTTTAAACTGTTCGTTTGATCGCTTCCTGCGAATTGACGTATCGCATTGTCTATAATTTTCTTCCGTGTATTTTTGCTTCCTGGCAACAAAAAATTTAAATCTTGCAGTGAAACCCATAACAAAAACGCGGAAAAATAATAGCTAATTTTTCTGAGACGTACAGGATGAGTGAGTGGCTTATTTTTTAGCGGCAGACATTTTAACACGGTTAAAGACACCATTTGGTACAGTAAGCAAGAAAATAAACTCACTAATTTTTTGAGTTAGTCGAGTTTGGCAGTTACGTAAAATGAGAGAATCGAAGCTATCTATACGAAGAACCCATGCATGCTGTGAGATATAGAGAAAATTGGCCTCAAGTGATAATTCTCGCTTTATGAAATTCGATTAGGCTCAATGGTTTTCGCCGCCGAATTCGGACGAACTTTATTGCGCTACAATGATGACTGTAGGGTGCGCTTTTTCTATATCTGAAAGCTGGGATGGTTTTTTCGCATGAAGAACCTGCACCACCTAACGGAACCAGTTAAAAGGTAATTAACTTAGCTATCTTAAATTAGATTCAAATGACGTGTTTAACCAACAAAGAATATCCGCTGCTACAGAAAGGGCAACTTTGAAGCAGCAAGGAAGCTTTAGATTTTGCTGTTTCTTGATTTCGGATGAATTTTTCTAGACACCCGGCATATATGTCTGTGTGCGTGCGCACGCGCGTGTGTGTTTTTTTGTTTGTCTGTCTGTGTGTCTGTCTTGTACATCAAAGTAATCCGAGAAAAGTGAAAGACAAAAGATTGCGGTAGCGAAAGCTCACGCGATCACCGCAAACTGGGCGCTACCGATTTATTTCACGTTTTTTTTTCTTTTTCGCAAAAGCCATGACTCCTATGACCATGACCACTGCCTTGAGTCCAGGGTCTCTAGTTGCTCCAGCACTGGTCCATGGGAACGCATTTCTTGTCCGATTTCTTCGGTACAGGCCGTCACGGCAGAAGCATCCAAATATTGTTTGCTTAGTGCACGATTGGACGAGCTCTTTTTCGCCGGGTTTGGGCGTAGTCGGCCTCGTTTCAGGGCAGTTGACTGGGTCGCATGCTCCTACTTCTCTATAAGCTTCGTCACTGGGACACGATCGTGGTTTCCACGGCACTGCAGCGAAAGCATTATAGCGATTTAATGCCAAGACGCCAAGCCATTGATTGGGTACCCACGTTGTTGCATTTTTTGTACTCTCCCACATTCTTCTGTTCGCTATACACACTCAATAACCATACAACAGAACCTCAGGGCTTGCATTGAGTAGGTGTACTTGACAGTGGTGCAAAATACATGTCGTGAAAGAAAAAAAAAGGGGGGGGGGGGTAGGCTATGGTTGAAGCATCGCCATCATTATCATCATCAGCGATTGGTAATTGGTGCTTCACTTTTTTCTCATCAATTCGTCCTTTTTTTCACTAAATATATTCCGCGTCACAATCAGGTTAAGTAATGTGAGCACCGACTCGCCCAAATCAAGAAAAAAGTTTGCCTATACAAACCTCAACACGCGTAGATCCTGATTTATGTGTGTGGTTTAACGTCCCAAAACTACCATATCAAGATCCTATTGTTCATCGGATAGCGAGAGCATGACGATCGGTTCACCGACGAGCTGAAGAGACTCGGCTCGCAAGTTGCCTAACGTGCCTTGCACAGCGCCGTAGCTTTACAAGTCACCAGTCACGGCACGAGATCGCACAGATTCGGGCCACCTACTGGCGAGTTGACGAAACACCGTAGTGTTGTGGATGGTTCCTCGCGCCATCTTCTACTCACGCCATCTTCGCGTGTGTGCGAACGTCACGTCCTCAGAGAGCAGCTTATTCCGTCGTGCAAGCAGAGTATCAAATGAATATACGTATGCCTACACTATAACATAATCCAACCACGGCATGGTTGCGGCACACCGGATTCATTCCGACCACCTGAATCGACCATTTGCGGGAAAACCACTGCGCATGAGCAGTAACCGCACAGGTAGCGTTCCTGTACAGGCGTTTTGGTTTTGGTTGGAAAACATCAGCCTGGCGTTCCATCAATATGACCCGTAGTAACGGCGAACACTGCCGTTTTCACGCAAACACCGTACCTCACAGACGGTGCACAAGCCGTCCTCACTGAACCTATAGTTAATCGACAGACATTTCAAGGTTCAACTTCAAGTGTATAACATAATGTTCTTCTTAAAAGAGCAGGCGTAATGAGCCTGGCGAACCGTCGAGGTAGCGGAGTGCAGGTATCACCTCACTTGGTTATTTCTCAGGCTGAAACGCGAGAAATTCTTGTTTTACACCGTGTATACAAACGTCAACAGAATGTTTTTCTCCTTTACCTTCTTGTTTCAGTAACGGGCATGCGTTTTTGGTCCTAAAGCAACAAAACAAGCGTTTTGTTTTCCAACCAAAAGCGAAGCTTTCCTGTTTACACGACAGGGGGCGCTCACTTTTCCGCAAATGGTCAATTTTCTTTTAATGTGAAGCAGCTTTTGCTCGGGACTTTATCCATCCGTACCTCACTCGTCCGCCGCTACTGCGCATGCGCACCCCCCTTACTCTCTCTCCTGGCCTACGCTGCCCCGTCTCCCTCCCTAGTCGGCGGCGAAGTCAACGAAATGCTTCCCGAGTACACACGATCACCTATAGTAGCCGTTGATCGTCGATCTTGCGGTGTTAGACGTTTCCGTGAGGCAAAGCGCGTCTGATCTGGTTAGCACGAGATCGCGTTTGATGTCTCTGGCGTGTGCGTTGAGGTACCGGCTATTTAGCAAAGCTTATATAGTCATGTTCACCCGCAGCGTTAGTCAGGTGGGGGTTCCGAATGTTGCTGCACCTGCTTAAGTCGACGCAGACGAGTTTCGGTGGGTGCCGTTCACCATCCCCTCGCTGGTTCGCATCCACGCATGGTTCCCTTTAGCGGAAGATGGTGTAATAGTTTAATGGACACGCGCCTAGATCTCAGCACTCGTGTGTTCTTGCGGTCGAGAATCGAACCCGCTCCAAGGAGCTCTGCCTGACTATACGCCCACTGTAAGGCATAAGCATCTACCGTGTTTCCAATCAACCAGGCCATGTGCCGGCTGCAGGCACGTCATAACCGCATAACTTCTCAATTGCGTCCCCCCACCTAACTTTCGGCCTCCCCCTCGTGCGCCAGTCTTCTCATCGCATGCAGCCTGTTACTTTTAATGAGCAGAAAATATCTGGACATCTCGCTGCACGGTTAGGTCTACAGCAGGCAGGTTAGGGACACCCCTGATGGCAGCGGCGTAGCCAGGAGGTGGCACACCAGGACCGTGCCCCCAATTCCGAATTTTTAATGCGATAGCGTTAAGGAGCTCGCTTAGCAGAAATTGTGGCGTTGGTGTCAGCCTTGTTGGTTGTCAGCGAAAAGTCATCTTGTGGGGGACTAAAAATTCGAGAAATATGAAAATAAAAAATAAATAATAAAAATGACCGCAGTTTCCCGAGTGGGAACACTGGTTAGCATGCGGAGCATATATGTTGAACTGCAATAAATGTGGTTTGTAATTTGCGACATGCGCGTGTGTTATGAGTGAACACGAGTGAACACGCACGCACGTATGCTGCGAAAGACGATGTTTATTGATGAGACGCTTTGGGCATTTTGAGCAAGATGGCTTTATGGTCCGTAAAGTGAAGGGTGAGTGGATCTGGTTGCAGCGGTCGAAGGTCGAAATTTGCAAAGACGTGCTCGATGCACGCCCCGCGAACCGTGGTCGGATGATGTTTGCCGTCGTGCGTTGCTCGTTTCAGCGAGTGCCGCGACTCCATGTAGTCGACCACCCAATTGTCCTTGATGACGTTGACGTTGAAGTCGTCAACTATCATGAAGGGTCGTCGTTGTGGTCGTTGTTCCAGGTATTCTTCCACGGCTTCGTCGACGTACTTCTTCGTGGCGGCACGCGATAGGTTGGGCGCGAGGTACACCGTCATGACGTCGACTCCGCAGACGCAAGCGGCGCGGTGCTCGCCGTTGGCGCATTGTTGGGCGCGCGGAGGGGAGAAGCGAGCGCAGCGCGCGCTGTGTTGAGAGGAGGAGGGGATGCACAGATGGCTGGCAGAGGAGGAGGGGAGGCTGCGGACGGCGATGGCGCATGACTAGCCCCTAGTATAACATGCTCCGCATGTAAAAGTGCGTCCGAGTGGAGATCAAACTCGAGTCGCTTGCACGGCAAGTGGGGGTTCTATACCACTCCGCCACACGTCTTTTCATGAACACATTGAAAACAAATTCATCTGCTTGGAAATGCAGTGAAAGTTACTTTTATGCTTTGCAAACACACGTGTCCTGTATGTATACTTCACAACACAACTTGTATTGTCGTAGTAATCTTGCATGGTACAAGCGTACGTTGCCATCGGGCGTCAGAACATGTGATTATTATAATGACTTCGTGGTTTAAAGCCGGTCAAAAAGCACACACGTTACTGCGCCTATTATTAGTGTAGCATTTTATAGTCGCACCTAGTCGGAAATCTGAAGTCGGCGGCCATAGAGTTCCCTATATATACATAGTGGGAACTCTGGCGCTAGTGTATATGGGAGCTGCAACGCAAGGCGCTTCGGCGAGCATGGGAATGTTGGGGGGGGGGGGGGGGGGTTATGTTATAAGAAGGAAAAGAAAAAAAAAAGTGAGCCCCGTAACTGTCTGCTTCCGGGAGCGACACCTCAACAGTAGCTCACAAGGGATGGGGGTGAGGAGGGATTAGGAGGATAGGAATAAAGGTATAGACAGAGAGAAAGAGAGTTGCGCTAAGCCAGCGAGCAAGGACATATCGTGTGGCTTGGAGCTGTTTTCTTATGAAACAAAAATAAGCAATTGTTCTGCGGTTGTGCTTCACCCCTCATTCCTTTAGGCGTACCACTTCAAATCGGTCCACGAAGTTGAAAAGGGTTCGTTCTTTCTTTCGAAACAAAAAAGAAACACAGTAAAAATAAACGAAGCCAGAAGTGCGATTCGCCGCCCGCAAGTACATACGAAGGCTATATAAATATAATAGGTGAATTCGCGTAATACCTGTTATTCCCATGGTGGCTAAACGGTCGCAGCGGCAGAGTCCCCTCTGGTTAATTTTAGGAGACTCCGTGTAGGCGGCGCCACCAACACCCCCACTGCGCATGCTCGCGTCTGGTGCCAACTGTCGCTCTCCCCCTCTTACTCTCTCTCGCCTCGCAAGGCTATAGGACGCAGGCAAAGAAAAATCCTACTGCTCGCGCTGCACAACCGTTCATTGACCTCATATATGTAGGCACTGGATCGCGCGTTTGGAATTGCCCCGCCGCATTGGTTTAGTGGCTAAGGTACTCGGCCGATGACCGGTAGGTCGCGGGATCAAATCCCGGCTGCATTTCCGATGGAGGCGAAAATGCTGTAGACTCGCGTGCTCAGATTCGGGTGCAAGTTAAAGAACCCCAGGTGGTCGAAATTTTCGGTGCTTTCCACTACGGCGTCTCTCATAATCATATGGTGGTTTTGGGACGTTAAACCCCACATGTCAATCAATCAGCTCGTTCGGGATTCAGTCAGGGACGTCTTTACTTTGCTTTCGCTTCAATTGACGCTTTGCTTGACTCGAGTAGATGCGTTGGAAGCAACTGTACAAGCTTCAACCGGTAGTGGGGCACAACCCAACATCAGTGCACCACCACTAGTTGAGGGCTACGCTTCTCCTTCATTCAATAAATAGGAATAAAAAAAAAGTGCCGCCACATCCACGAAGTGAATGATGATGTGTGGGCGAAGCTCCGGAGGTAAACCTGGTAAACCATGAATCCTCCGTACATTTTGCCCACTCGATTTTATTGCAACGCTCCCCCTAGCGTACGTCGCCGCACTATATCGAACGATGACACGCGCCATATGTGGCATCATTCCTATTTTATAACACTTCACATCTTTCATAATCAACTACACGTACCGCCGTCTAGTTTATAACATCTTGCATCTTTTGGATGGATGGATGGATGGATGGATGGATGGACGGACGGACGGACGGACGGACGGATGGATGGATGGATGGATGGATGGATGGATGGATGGATGGACGGACGGACGGATGGACGGATGGATATGGCTGTACCCTTTAGATCGGGCGGTGGCTAGCGTAATACTTAATGCCGTCAGCTACAAGTACCGCCATCTAGTGAACACTGCAAGAACTGAACGAGAGGTGGCTACATACAGGGGACGCACAGCCCACGCCTTAAGGAGCTTCGCTCCTAAAAACACGGCAGAACAGTTAGGCATTCTGAAACCGTACCCAATAACGCAGCATTCATGCGAAACCCGCGCCACTTTGCGACGCATTTACTCGAGTTCTCCCCGTGGGAACATGCGGGCGGCCTTTTTCCCTTAAGGTCACTTATAGTGGGTGCATAGCAAACTTGAAAATGCTTCATGCACTAAGATCGTACCAGGGACAGGATATCGCTATCGCGTTCAGCTCGAGATCTGAAAGGTGAAGCTTATAGGGATACCCCAGTTTTTTTTTTAGGGGCGAAGCTTCTTAAAGCGGCACCCGTTCGTTCCTCGTAGTAGTCGTAGTCGTAGTGTGTAACCAGTCTTACGTTTTGACCTGCAAGGTGTCGCGGTTGGGGATTTCACCTGTGCGTTGTTGAACAATACAAAATTCGCAGCTTGCGCGTTAACTAAAAGCCGAATTCTCCTGTCTCTCATTCCAATTAACAGCCATCGGCATGTACATTGAGTACTATCTGGAAAGAAAGGGTTGCTACGTTATACTCGCTGGGCGTAACCTCCTTGGTTTTAGCAAAGATTTAGTGAGCGTTAGACCACAGTGCCATGAGTACAGTGAACTAGTATGTACCATGAACTCGAGGTGGTTATAGGTGGGAAGTAGACACAAAGCGCAAGCCGTAAGAAAGTGTGGATGTGCTACCTTTCGTTTAGTCCTTGGAATGTCCGCTGGATGGCGGTGTTTTTATATGGGGACAGGAATATATGATGACAAGATGCGAGATGGTGGTACTTGGAGTGTTGAATAGATGGACGAACGGAATAGATGGACAGATGCATGGACGGACGCACGGATGGCTGCACGGATGGATGGACGCATGGACGGACGCAGGGGCTGATGCATGGACGAACGCAGGGACGGACGCACATATGGACGTGCGGGCGCACGACCAGACGCACTCACGGACGGGCGGATGGACGCACGGATGGTCACGCAGACGCATGCATAGACGGACGGAAGCAAGAACGAATGGACGGACGGATGCTTCGCCCCACTCTCCATCATTCACTCCGTGGATATGCTGCCATTTTTTAAAGACATATACATAGTGCAAATCGACTATTTGTCTGCCCGGCCCTTATCACATCAAAGAGGTGTACCCCATCCCCTCCCGAAAAATGTCTGCCTACGCCCCTGCCTGATGGCTAAGATTCGTCTGAAGTCTCCTATACTATACACCCGTCTGACTCAGCTTTTCTGGCGCTGGAACTCTTTCAAGTCCGTTTCAGTAACGGAGCCCTTGTCTAACCGGCAGCCCGACGTTTTTCTTGACCATCACTCCACAAAAAGAAGTATGCGAATACTGAAACATAAAAAAAATCAGCAGTACGGTCGACGAGTCTTATGCTCACCTGAAAACACAGCAACCACGGTGACGAGGAGGAGCGCGGCAACGAACGACGTCGCCATCCTTCGACGTCGATCTTGACGGCTGTGCGATTGACTAGCAGGTTTATATACAGCCGAGTTGACGCTTGCCTTTCCTCCTTTCTTTTTCTCGTTCTTTTTGAACACACGAGCTGCTGCATATGATTCGTTCGTGGCTCTGTGTCGATCTGAACGGCCGACAGAACGCGACAATAGAATGCGTCCACCAAGTACTGATCATTTTTTATATCCTTCATAGCCGTCATTCAATTCTTCACATCGCGTTGTGATCTTGTGTATGGGTATTGCATTGTGTATTGTGTATGCGTGTCACGCAAAAAATGCGATATAACATGAAAACGTCACGCGAAGTGTAAACGAAATGCCTGCTAACAGCACGCTTAAATATTAACATGGCAAAATATTCACACACGTTCACAGCTCGTATAATGCTATGCTTTACTCTCCACTCGTACTTTCCCGCATGAGCACCCTCACATATTTCCTTCTTACCCCCCCTTCAATTTCCTACTGCTTGCTATATACGCTGTAAAAGGCTATGCTGTACTTTAATTTGTCCCCTCCCCGTTTATATAGCCCCTTGATATTACCCATTCGAAGGTTGCACTATACTCTAGATGGCTACGTTATGCTTCTACTTCGCCTTGCACGGCTGCGCCGAGTTATGAGCGGTATACCCGGCCACGTCTGGAACTCGATATTAAACAGCTTGCAGCACGATGTCGCATGATCTTGAGAGCTCAATTACTGACTATAGTTCTGCAAGTTGGGGCAGATTCCGAACAAGCAAGTATCATTTAGATGTATTAATGAGGGTATGTTGTAATGATGATTGATATGCGGGGTTTAACGTGCCGAAATCACCATATGATTACGAGAGACGCCGTAGTGGAGGGTTTCGGAAATTCCGACCACCTGCAGTTCCTTAACGTGCACCCAAATCTGAGCATACGGGCCTACAACATTTCCGCCTCCATCGGAAATGCAGCCGCCGCAGCCGGGATTCGATCCCACGACCTGGGGTTCAGCAGCCGTGTATCTTAGCCGCTAGGCCAAGACAACGGGGCGAGGGTAAGTTGTAGCCATGTGTGATGTATGAGCCCGTGAACATGGCGACGCGCTCCCGTGGTGTTGCAAGTCGTATAGCGGGAGACTGTACTTCTTCGGCATCGGTGCGTGTGAAGGTGGCCTGACGGTTGAAGCATCGTACTGCAGTACTCGAGGACACTGCTGCCAGTGTGTTCGACATGATCAGGGATCCACCAGTGAAGATATTTATCGACGAAGTGTAATCGTCATCCACTGTCAGCAGTACAGGGAGATTCTTGAAGACAGCGTAGCTTTAATAAAACACGAGAATCTTAAGAACGCGCAGTTTCACGGAGAAAGCACAAATAAAGTTTGTCGGAATTGCGCCACGCCTAAATTGCAACGCGATGTGCAAGGGTTCAGTGTGCGTTGCACCACGATACTCCTGGAAAAACTAACGAAGCCATGCATAAAGTCTGAATTCCTTTAATGTCAGACATGACCATGGAAACACACAGACACACACATCACTCACACATTTCGGCTATAGCTACATTTGCAAATGTGTCTACTGGATCACTTATTTTCCGAATACAAACACCGTTTTACATTCCCGCAGAAAGAAAAAAAAACCAGTAAGACGTGTCTGCGAGTCCTTAGGCATCATCACTTCATCACGCACCGACGAAATACCGAGTAAGCAAACGGCTTGATTTTGCAGGCATTACGGCGTTGCTAATAGTTTTCACTAGTTACCCGAAAGCGAGTGCGACAAGTGTTACACCATTAGACTTCGACTCGTTCCCTGGCGGTGCCACAACGATATATAATTTGTAGACGTCATCGTTAGTGTACGAGACCGTGTGTTACGCATGATACAGTGCTTGTGTTTAGCGTATATGCTCTGGTTCTCTAAAAAAAAAAAGAGCGAGTAAAAAGGGTGTCTTTTTGTCCCACAACAATAATCGTCATCTATATTGCGTTCCATCCTTGCGCTATCACCGCGTGCCCGGTACATTCCGGTCCCGATCGACATGTCCATTATCAGGGTTACATTGCATTCTCGATAGGAAAGTGGCCAGCGCCGAGTTTTCAAGCAAGGAAGCGCACGCAAGCCTGATGACGATTATTGTTGTGGGACAAAAAGACACCCTTTTTACTCGATATATTTTTGGAGTGGTGCTGCAGTGTATACCTCTCGTTTCGGCGCATTTTTTTGTGAAATGCGCACTACTACAGTTATATCGCCTTCCGTCGGCCACTGGTCGTCGTCTTAACTGGACAACCTCGTAGAACCCTTGACGTCCTGTAGCTGCAACCTTAAAAAAAACACGCATGTATATTTTTGACTCACAGAACGAAATGGAAACTCAGGTACCTGGCTAAATACTGCCTATAGCTACGATGCAAAATGCTGCTGGATGCATATTTCTTGTGACCAGCCTACCGTTCGGTTCAGCCTACAAAGGCACCGACCGCACAACCTTTACAGAAGGGTTAGAACATGTTACAATCTTGCTGCTGCTGCGTACGTAAGCAGTTGTTCGTTTATTGTCTGTCACATTTGGCACCGAAGGCTTCCTTTCTGCTGCGAAAAAAAAAAAGATGGGGGGGGGGGGGGGTGATGGGTTGGGAGCCGGATATGGTGGTTAGATGCGGATGCATTTCATGCTCGCGATCTGCGTTGTGGCGACTGTGTTTCGCAGACGTCTCGTTTCAGCTGCTTAAGAAAGCTCAAAACATCTTTAAGTGACTCGTGGCGTCTTTTCTGGAACAAGTCGTAGGTACGTTTTTTCAGTTAACACTCGAAGCGGGTATTTTTTCGCATACCACGATTGCACTTTGTTCAGACGAGGCAGAGTAGGATTGCAGAGTTTCTGGGCAAAGGGCGTTGACCTTTTTTTTCTTTTTTTTTTTTCTGTGAACGCATGTGGGCGATAGTTGCAGCAGCTAATAAATTCACGAGGCGTACGACGGTTTGAAGAGAACTTGAAAACAAAAAAAAGAGGGTAAGAAGTGAGGGGGCGGAGGGTGCCACATAGCATGGCAGGGATCACGAGGACAGCTTTTTCACAGTAAAGCAGGCGCCACTGGTCCTTCCATGGGGGGTCTCTACCAAATGCCGCTGGACCTGCCGCCTGGTGGGTTGTGGACGCGAATGCCGCTCCTTGTGCCTTGGCTGTCGTCGATCTGCGCCCCTGCAGTGATGACAGGTAGAGCAGCTCACTTGCGGCTTATTTATCTATACAGTGAAACACGCGAATACCAAACCCATGCATAACGAAATATTGTGCCTACCGAACGGGAGTAAAAATCCTCTGAAAATACTTTCTCTGTATATATTCTATATATCGGATTTCCTATATATAAATTTTTGTGTGATCTCCTTTCAAACTCGGTATATCCGGGTTACACTAAATGCGTGTTCCTTATGCGTTTCTAAGGTTCTCGAGAGATTGGTTCAAGTCCGGCTGACCGCTACACGCTTGGCACAATAATCCCCATCAGCGTCATCAACTGGACCGTTGCCGCATCCACGCGGAGGGGCTGGATGCGGGCGCTAAGATGACCCACTGTATAACCTAATTATTGTATAGACAGGAGTCCATAGACACAAAGTCATCTCGCCCTGAGAGTGTTTGTAAGAGAATGCTCCAGCTCTTGACGCTAGACTCATGAACCTCGACGCTGCACATGAGCTGGAGGTGATGTTCTCTAACGAGATGCAGGAAATGACTTTACAGAACTGCAGAAGTAATAAATATTTAGACGATCAATTTTCCTAATTAAGTAAGCATAGATGACAACGATGTTACAGCGCGCACCAGGCCATGGACATAGCCAGATTTTTTTTTCGTGTAGGTGGAGTGGTATTCAACCATAATTTATGAATGGTTCGCGGCATGCATTTGTACTTGGGCGTCTATGCAAAATGCTAGTGGCCGGGCGATGACCCACCCTTCTCTTCCCCTGACTACGCTTGTACACGAGACAGGGACAGACTGCGTAGACGGGAGCGCCGTTGGTCCTTACCGGACAGGCTGAAGCTGGAGTCCTGTTGGTTGCGAACTCCGCTGCGAGTGGGTCCGCGGGTGTGGAACTCGGACGGGCTGAAGGGACTCTCCTGTCCCCTCTGGGGCGTCGAGTGGTTCTTCAGCGGCGTAGAACCGTCGCCTCCGTTCACCATCACGTCTTCCACGGGTCCGTCGTAGCCGTCACGGTTCACCTTCAGATGCTGGCTGGACTGCGTACACCGCGTCGCAACACCGGGTCACACGGGACTGTCCCGGTTCAGAGTGCATCAAAGGGGGACTCTCAAGCGAAACACGGAGTCGGTTCAGAGTCATACATTATGCTTTGAAAGCTATAATTTCGCCATCGCAAGTTCATCACTAGAAACGAAAGTGTTCGTGTCAATTTTCGGGCCGCAAACTTTAGCCACCGAATGTCCATGTGGCGTGAAGGGTTACAATGCCCATTCATATTTTGGCTTTATTGGCTCAATGACAGCTTACGCTGCAAGTTCCTGGATAAATCGAAGCATAGCGTAGTTCGCATTCTACATCACCACGGCTAGTTGATACTGAAAAATTCAAGGCGGCAACGCCACCGGTACTTCATCTACTTGCAATTTTTTTTTCGCTTACGGGGCATCTTATAGCGGCAAGAAGGACGCTTTTGGAATTGTGAAAAGTTTACTCAGTTATACAAAAAAGCTTTTCTCTCGAGCCTGCCTTCGCTTGCCGACTGTCTGGCATAATTATTGAACTTTGTCGGCTTTTCCTGGCAATCGTAGTATTTTTTTAATTGGATAGGTGCGACTCTGTAGCGGAGTTGACAGGGCTTTGAAGCACCCCCTACAGAACTGTATTCAGTTCTGTGCGCGTAAGGCACCCCATCCTGTCCTTCAATACTTCATCCGGCCTGCGACAGTGCTGTGTAGAGGATAAGACACTGTATCCTGTCCGACAACCTTCTAATCCAGCCTACGACGCTGCTGCGGGAACGATAGAGCACCGCATTCTAATCTGTTCTATGATATTTTATCCGGACACTGCTGTGGGGATAAGGTACCGCATCCTGTCCTGCAGTATTTTATCCAGCCTACGACACTGCTGTGGGGATAAGACACCTCACCCCGTCCCACATTCTGTCCGGCCTACTACAATGCCGTGAAGATAAGGCATCGTAGCCGGCCCTTCAAGTGTTAGATACCTGCTCGGTGGATGAATAGGTCAATCGAAACGAAAGTGCTAAAAAATAGTTCCCCACTTAGAATGCGACGACGAGGAAACTGTCTCGGCCACACTCTGTTTTCTGGCAGAAAATGGTGCAGCGAGATTACGAGTCGTACAACATAAATTACTCATGTAGACATTCACTTACCCGCTCCCTCTCGAAGAGACTGCTGAAGGTATGCGGTGAGAACGGCGGCAAGGCAACGAAGCGTCCGGACCCTTGGCTCACTTTGAGCTGCGCAGAATAAAACGACACGTCGTTTGACGTGATTAGCATTCATGTAATGATCGCGTGATCGGAGAGCAAGGAAAAAGGAAGCGCAATGTGATACTTACGGAGGCCACGTGAAAATGTTTTCGTCTCAGTCAGACGCTGTTGCAATGCTCACGTTAGCGGTCCGTGTTAAGGCACTAAGAGACCTGGTCGAGGAGCTCGTTTGTTTGGAAGGCGCAATCAAACAATCCAACAGATGGTTATACCAAAGAAAGTGTTGTGGTCATTGTGTTGTTATTTAACTATAGTGTGGTAGCTAAAACGTAAGCTTAAATAAATAAAAGTGGCTGAGGAAAATACACTTTCCGTCGGTAGGGTCCATTCCACAACCCTGGAATTATGCTTCTGATGCTCTACCCACCGAGCTATAATATGACGGACGGCGTTATCCCATCCATATTGTTGGATATTTCTGTGCTTCTAATTCCTGAGACTGTTAGCCAGCGCCATTCATAGCCAAAATGCGGTTCGAAAGAACATATACTCATACAAACTCACGAAAGTATAGCGTATGTCAACCACTCGTTCATAGCAGAGAGCTTCGCGGAATTCGGTACACATTTCTCCTAAAGAGAGCTCCCCGGCTGACGCCAAATTCTTCGTTATCTAGGATACGAACTCGCGAATGAGTTGCATCATGTTTCTAACACTAAACGTCTCAGAATCTACTTTCATAACGTTGTAAACACATGGTAGATTGATTTATATGTGGAGCTTAACCTCTCAAAACCACCATATTATTATGAGAGACGGCATAGTGGAAGGCTCCGGAAATTTCGACCACCTGGGGCTCTTTTACGTGCACCCAAATCTGAGCACACGGGCGTAAAACATTTCCGCCTCCATCGGAAATGCAGCCGCTGCAGGCGGGATTCGATCCCACGTCCTGCGGGTCAGCAGCCGAGTACCTTATAACCACTAGACCACCTCGGCGGGGCTGTAAACACGTGGTTTCACTGCGATAACATTCAATTATGTGAGCAAAATCCTGTGCTTGTTGGACCGTGCGTTTAAGGGCCGCATAGAAGTGTTACGTTGGAGCCACGCAGTGTGCATATAAAGCGAGAGCACGGCAAGATTCTCGTAATCGATGCGGATGCGTGGCGAAAGGCTAGCGGAATTAACAGTTTTCGACACTTGAAAAGTGAAGAAAGGTCACAGCTTTGGCGCAAAGGCGAAGCAATAAACACGGTAGGAACAGTTTCGAAGGTCACGCGCATAATGGCAAGCAGATCCAAACGTGCCCGCGTTAAATGACGCACGAAACGTACTCACAGGTACAGATGAACGCGAATAAGCGTCTCAGTTGTTACTTCACTGTGTCCGAAAGGCGCGTTATTTTCGCAAACGAAGACTGTTTTCGCAAACGGTTGCAGTGACCTTTGTGCTTCCGGTAACCACACCAGAATCATTCCGGTGAAAGCCCAAGGCCAGCCAAGGCGTACGATTGTTCTCACCGCGAGATAAGCGAGCGCATGCGCATGCCCCCTCTCCGCGGGGCAAAGTACACGTGAGAGATGTGAGCACGCGCCGCCGCGTCGTGACGATGCGGCGATGTGCGCTCATTGCGCCATCTTGTTGGTAAATGCTGAAAACGCGACAGTTCCCCAGGAGATACCCATAACCAGCGGTAACTGGTAGATATAAATAGCTTATCGTTTGAGCGTTGAAGGAGATGCTCCTTTCAGGCTCAGAGGCTAACGCCTCGCACCCATAATTCAGAGGTCCGACGTTCGATTATGCACGCCAAAGTCTTTTTCCTGATTTTTATTTTTTGCGCATATATATATATATATATATATATATATATATATATATATATATATATATATATATATATATATATATATGATTCAAAAAAGAAATTCTGTGGGTCCGGTGCAAATATAGTGAAGAATAAAGGAGCACACTTACGAAAATTTGATAATTGTTTACTCTACGTTTCGGACGAATTTCGCGGATCGCGAAATTCGAGAATCGTTCTTGATTCACAAGTTCAACAGTCTGTTATCCGGCATTAACGAATGCGTAGGAAAAGTGTCATGCCTTTCTACGATGCCCTGACGTCCGAAATTTTGAGAAATATTTAAAGAAGCATCCCTGACGTATAATATACTTCCTAAAGGTTATCACATATTTAATTTTTTCATGCGTGATCCTCGTCGTCAATGTTGAATGTTAGAAATGCCTTTTACATGCCCACAATCTTGTCTATTGTATTAGATTTTAATGGTTTGTAGTGTAGTCACGGCTGTTTAAAAGAATTTTTGTGACACTCACATGCTGATCGCACGTGTTTTGTACTGACGTGTTCATGCCTGCCCATAAAAGCGGCCACATACTCGTATTTCTGTTAATCCTGACGAAGGCCGTGCCACGGCCGAAACGTAGAGTAAACAATTATCAAATTTTCGTAAGTGTGCTCCTTTATTCTTCACTATATATATATATATATATATATATATATATTTATTTATTTATTTATTTATTTATTTATTTATATACTGTGAGTGAAGGGGACGCCGGCGGCAAAATCCAGCCGAGAGTGTCCATATAAGTGTTATCACAATAAAAAACTGCGCCGTCACAGCTTGCCGGAAGTGACACCAAATATGACTATGATAATGAACTCCTGAGTGTTACCTCCGACAACAGGCGACACTCTGCGTTTTTGTCCTCGGCACGTTAGAAAATCTCAGGTAGCGGTGTGCTGCTACTTGCATCATACTCGATAACATGCAGATGCACGCATTGGTTGTTCTTTTAGCGCTATACTGATAAGAAAATTAAACTATTAACAACCCCACAGCTTTGCGAAGATTGATTTTTCAGACTTATGCTGCTATAGTGAATGACCGGTTAGACCAAGTGAGATTTCATTGCAAACTTGGAGTTGTGCTTTATTGTGAGGATGTGCGAATATGATACTGACGTGAATAAAGTATACGATTCGAATCGTACCAGAACCCGACCAAATTAAATGCTTTCCAACAGCTTTCGAATATGAAGCAGCCGTAACTACAGTTAATATAAGGTAATGTTCATATCCTACAATTATACCATTAAAGTCACCTGTAGCATACAATGATTAAATAGTAAGTCGTAAAGTTTCATTACGCAAGCAACGTAGCCTACTACAATACATTAACGCTCATGCTTTGTGGCTACTTTATGGAACTTGACGTAATTGCAGCAGTTTTGGGCTCAGATGGCGACAGTTAACATTATTTTAGTATTCTCAGACTATTTGATTGAAACGCTGAATGGAATAAGACACTGCCGGAACACTACTCGATACGATACTCGAAGTTTTTCGAGTCATCGCAAACCAGTTCTTTGACGTAAACATAAAAGCAGATTGACACAGACAAGCTCTTGTCTACATTCAAGTCTGCTAGGCATAGAGGAGACATAGTTTCGGAATAGTGTAGCTCACTTGGCCTTCGTCCAACACCACGTGTCCTCCGGAAATGACGTACTGAGGTCCACCCCGAACTTGCATTCCTTCGAAGATGTTGAAGTCGGCCGAGGAATTGTGCGACTTCTTGGATATTGTGGTCAGCTTCTTGGGATCCCAGATGACGATGTCTGCATCCGAGCCAGCTTGGATGCGTCCCTGGCAAAACGACGGAGCGAGTAATAAACATCTGAGCGCCACTAAAAGCCAGGAAACGACCAGAATTTATCGTTGGTTTGAAAAACTCACACGTTCCTTTATGTATTTGTATAAGACGATTCGAAAGAGAAAGCCAACATCTTTTTCTTAGGACCGTGTTCACAAACCAACCTTGGCCTTTCCTCGCGTTTTCCTCAAGTTTCTGTACTCTCTACGGTCATTATTAGGGCGCAGAAATGGTAACGGGGTAAAATATAGCAACGAGATTGGTTTATGTCTACTAGCCTGCTTTGTTCAGCGAGCGCAATACCGGCTTAAAACCGATGAGGAAAACTCGAGGTAAGGTTGAGGTTGGTTTGTGAATGCGGGCCTTAGTCGATTGTATTGGTCCCTCCAACCTCCTCCGCCTGGAAAACTGTCTGCACTTAAAGGCCTGGCCACACGTACCTGTTGCAGCGCGTCAGCGGGTGGCCTTTTTGACGCGGTGCTATGCCATCTCTCCAAGGAGAGGGAGGGTGCGCTGCATTACATAGCCACGCGCCCTTTCTCATTGGGGAGAGGGTGCGGCATCGCGTCACGTTGCAGCGCTTACGTATGGTCAGGCCTTCAGGTGTTATTGCCTATGGGATCGGAGGCATGGGAAGATTTCTGCACCTCATGTGGTCTTAGTGGGCCTCCGAGATCGGCCCATGTTTGACCAAGCGACGATGTCATGTGACGCCATGTTTTTTTTTTCACTTCAGTGACGTCATGCGTGGCGCAACGAATTTCAGAGGCCTGCGAGGTCATATTATGACGTCATCAAAATTAGATTTTTTTCGCTTTACTTACGTTGACACCTCCAGTGTCACTTTTTGCGTTTGATGATACACTTGAGGCATTCGCTTTTAGCGAAAACTGAGGAAAAAAGCGAAATGGCAAGTATCCAGTCTTAAAAGCGCAAGTGGTGTGTAGACAACACTTGCGATTCAATACATGAAGTAGGCTTTGTGTACTGGCTACAAAATGAATTAAGGTGAGAGTTTTAGAAGCCTCATAAAACTCGAAAATTGCCCCGCCGTAGTGGTCTAGTAGCTAAGGTACTCGGCGGCTGACCCGCAGGTCACGTGATAGAATCCTAACATCGGCGGCTGCATTTTCGGTGGAAGCAAAAGTGCTGTAAGCCCGTGTGCTCAGATTTGGGTGCACGTCAAAGAAGCCCAGGTGGTCGAAATTTACGGAGCCCTTCATCACGGTGTCTCTCACAATGATATGGTGGTTTTGGGACGTTAAACATCACATATCAATCAAAACTCGAAAATTGATGGGCGTCTCTCGTTGTCGGCATCATTGCGAGTGATAAAAAAAATCGTCACTTTAAGACGTTACCGTATGACGTCATGTTGTCGTCACATATTATAGCCAAAGTTTAAGTCACGTGACATGGCAATAAATGATGACGCCATCACACTACGCCTCAGCTAGGAAATAGGCGGGCCGATCCCAGAGGCAGTGCAGAAACGGGTGACGTTCCTCCGATCTCAAAGGCAGTGAAAAACCACGTTAAGTGCAGAAAGTTTTCGGACGGTGGCGAGTCAGGATCCATACATCGACAGGGAGGTAAAGATTGATGTCTTTCGTCTTTCAATCGTTTCAGGTGAGTACATAAGGGAGCCGTAAGGTTTAACACCTCGCGGCACTACCGACAAACTGAAACTGAGAAAAGTGGACAGTTAACGAACTTGCACAGTCTAGAGAGAGCACAGTTATCACGATGGACACTGACCGATGAAAATGAGACTTGATGTAAGCGTTGCCAATAACTGCCATGTCCCCACGAGAAATTACCAAGCTTTACTAGAGAACTTACTGTATTTGGAAGTACGGTAATTTTTACCGTATTTGGAAATAATCTAGCGCTGACGTTTCTTGTCCGTAAAAATGTTGGTTTATGGTCACTTCACTTCATTCTCACGTGATACCTTCTTAAGGTTGCATTTTTCATGCAAGTTTACTTACCTTTTTGGGATAGATGTTGAACAACTTTGCAGCGTTGGTGCTCGTGACGGCCACAAAACGGCAGGCGTCCATCTTTCCGGTCATCTGTAAAAACGATAAATTCAATGCGGCTAACAACTTCTCATCTGGTTCAATCTTTCGCAGCGTGATAGGGCGATGGTTATAACAATAAGTTCCATCGTGGAAGCTAGCGCACTCCCAAAAGCTAATAATTTGTCGCCAAATGGCAGTAACGCTCGTTCACGGTGATAACATATATAGGTATGGCGCAGATGGCGCTGGGGAGAAGGGCTCGGGGGCAGGGGTTTGTCCTGTAATATTGTTACGCGAGGGCACACAGAGAAACGAGGTGATAGCTAAGATATATTTGCACGACGCCAAGCCTAAGCCGAGATGGCAAGCGAGAGCGCGCCCCGCATCCCAGAATCGCGTGTAGTCTTGTAACAATATATCTATGCGCGGGGTTTTGACCTTCCCACAATTTACCACAGAAAGCGGAGGACTGAAGGCAGGTTGTTGAGAGAAGGTTAAATCAGCGTTACATTTTCATGTTTGCATCTATTACGTCGCTCTTTTTTTTTAAGGATAGACCAGAGCTCGCTGCTTCAGTATGGGTTCTTCGTTACAGCTACGGAAGGGGGTAAGGGGTCATTAAGGAACCCGAACTTGGCTCACTCTAATGAAGATACATGTGCACGCCTATCATCAAAAAAGCAGTGAATTTCTACACTAACGTATTTTTTGCTTGTACGATCAAACTCTGGAGACTTGGAGAAGGGGGGAGACGTTTTTTGTTTCATTTAATAAATGCAATACGAGCCTTCGTATTCCATGTAATTACAATATGACTCCTGAGCAATTAACGAGACCCCCGCACGAGGTCGCCGCTTACCACTCCTTTCTCCCAGATGACCAGCATTCTCTCCTCCACGCCGTTCACTCCGTGCGGAATCTTGGTGAAGTCGTTGGCACCGACGGCCCTCTGCGCCGTTGTAAACGTGCAGTGCTGGGAACCGGTGACGTGAAGGTCTCCGCTGTAAAGACATTTTTTAATTAGTTTTTTTTTCCTAACCTAGCATCGCGACGTTGTTTTATTGGCATGTAACTACACCTGAAGCCCCTTTATACGATACACGCACTCACAGGAGTGGTCGTCGCTTAATTATATGAGCTGTCTCTTAACAGCAGGCTACCGCGTCCTCATCTTCTGATCTCTCCGTTTTGATGTTGCGCACTGTGGTGTCTCTTTGAATTATTTGTATCTTGCATCAGTTACTCTTACAAACAAGTTCGACTGTGCTTCGAGCCTACGCAACGGAAATGGAGCTGACGACGGAAACGGGTAATTTTTGTATTTTCTCAGTCCCAATACGCATTAGCAAAAGCATAATAAGCGTGGCCGACTTGGGCACTGACTTGTGGATCGGTCTTGAATTCTTACGGCTTTCTCTGCTGGCAGCGCTGTACAGCGAATACAAAAACAGCGGTAACATGTAGGAGTCGTGACGTTGCAACACCCTGCTGCGATCCGAATCCTGTCTGTCTTTCTCGTGTCCTCGTCTTTACCAGCGCTATACTCACCGTCGATCGTAGTGAAGGTCGCATGTTCGATTCCTCGCTGCTACAGCCACATTTCGGTGAGGCCGGAATGTGAAAACGCACGTGAGGTAGAAATCAGCCGATTTTTCGTTCAACTTTGCCTGATATCATGGGTTTGGATGGCAAAACTCCGTAGGAAAGAAAGAAAAAACCTGGAGTAGCTGGTAAAAGTTCATTTTTGAACATGTTAGAACAGCTTAGGACGGGCACGCAGTTCAAAGAAGGGAATGACACGAGTTATGACTCTCAGCTAAAGTTTACCAAAAGAAACGACATGAATAAATGCGAAGGCCAACCTATAGCCTCAACGAAGAGACCACGACGCGGGAAAAGATTTCTTCGCAGCTTTACGTTTGTTCGTTTCTGGACGCGTGTAGGCATTCTGGACATGTTTACAAATTGCTAAGATGGCTCTGCTGCAGCGGAAGCGTGGTTGGCCTTTGTATATATTCGCGTGGTTTCTTCTAATAAGCTGTAAATACAAGTCTTCGAACTTCGAATCTTCTTCGAACTTTGTCTGTTGGGCGCTGTAAGTGGTTCACAAAAGAACCTGCGTACTTCAATTAACCTAAATTGGGCATCCAAAAACTTTCACGCTTGCATATTGTCTTAAAAAAAAAAAAACAGTGTTCTATCAAAAGGTCCTAGCGCACTCCCTACTTGAAGGGAGTTGGTAAGCACACAGTTTAACCAGCCCGCGCGAGACTGGAGATCATTGGTAGAGGCCAATGATCTCCAGTCTTCATCTTGCAGTGCGCATAAAACAAGCTGGGAATAATTTATCTATTTTTATTTATTTCAAGGCACCTTACAGGCCCTAGGCGTGGGGGCATTGAGTAAGGGGGGCGATACACAAGATACATGTACATATACATATGGAGTTGGCAAAAATACATAAGAAATGATACAATTGGAATGCAATAAACAAAAAGCATTATACATACATGTAAAGATGACGCACGCATGCAAACAGTAAGCGACTATGATTATGATTATGCAAATACGAGCTTTACGCAGGTCTGCACGCAATTTTTTTTTCCAGTTCACACTTTTCGAAAATGTTGGAGGCACTGGATACTATCTCAGAGATACGCGTCTTTATTTTCGTTATGCATTAACATGTTTACGCGTAGTTTTTTTTTTATGAAGCTATACGATCGTCGGTAGTAGCCGCGGACGCGAGCAGAGTTAGAGGCGCTTTTCTTCTTACCATCCGAGCAAGTCCATGAGGCGGCTGAGTGTGGTGGGGTCCGAATTCAGAGGAGGAGAGGTCACGTGACTGGCCGCGTGACTCCAGCACTTGTTGAAGTAGTGGCTCCCGTCGGTCCCCAGGCTGGCCGCCGTCGGTTGGCCGAACACCACGCAACCTGGGAGCGGCCGAGAAGCGAGCGATCTCAGATCGGCTGTACTGTATAGAGTGGTTAATGTTCCGCTATTTCGTTTCATTATTCCTTCTCTTGTATAGCGTTGTTCCAGTTCCCTTATTCCATTCACTTATCCTCAGTTCAAAATGGCTAATTGGACGCTTGTCTGGTTAACCTCCCTGCCTTTCCTTCTCTAGCTTTCTCTCTCTCTTTCTTTCACTTGCTCTCCACCAAAGCTACACCAGCGCTTTTGCCCTCCCCATAGCGTGATACAACACGGTTTTAGGGTATGCGCCTTCCAAAACAAAATTCTACCGAAACCTGACGTAGTATAGGCGTAATGCCTGACGCAAAGGCCGGTTACTTTGATAGGTGAGCAATCTGCACGTTAATAAGCATACGCATTCTGCAAATGAACAAACATAAGTGCCTTCATCGGCCGAAACAACGAAACACGTGCTGAACTGCCTGCATTCCGGCAATAACTCAAAGCTAAGGAACCAAAGTAGGCGTTGGGTGATAAAGCCGATTATTTTTTATTTTTTATTATTATAAGGTTCTTGCTGTAAATTTGTTATTTTAATTATTCATAATTACTAAGTAGAAAACTTTGATCACTGAGAGCCTATGGAAAACTATCAGATTTTACGCAGAATATAGCGTTCCGAGAAACTCATGTATATTCTTACTCCAGTTGAGATGTGTGCAATCTTTTGTAGCCTTTGTATACCGTGTCATTCGAACATTCTTTCTTTTTTCACCTATTTAGTTCTTTCTTCTGCTTGCATGCTCGATGTTGCTTTGATGCTTGCGTAATTATTTCACTCATCATTGGCCCCGCCATGGTGGTCTATTGGCTAAGGCACCCGGCTGCTGACCCGCAGGTCGCGGGATCGAATCCCGGCTGCGGCGGCTGCATGGAGGCGAAAATGATGTAGGCCCGTGTGCTCAGGTTTAGGTGCACGTTAAAGAACCTCAGGGGTCGAAATTTCAGGAGCCCTCCACTACGACGAGAGATGACGTAGCCCTCCACTACGGCGAGAGACGCCGTAGTGGAGGGCTCTGAATGGAGGGCGTAGTGGAGGGCTATGAATGTGATCACATTGATATGGTGGTTTGGGGACGGGAAACTCCAGATATTAAATTGTGCTTGGCTCCTGTAACTATGCCTCGTGTGGAATCAACAGTACAGCAAGATAGATTGATTGATAAATAAATAAAAAGTCACAGCTTTTCCGCAAAAGCGGATCAATGAACGCGATAGGAACAAATTGGAAGGTCACGCGCAGCTTGACAAGCAGATCGAAACGCACCCCACGTTTATCACGCACAAATGACGCATGAAACGTTCTCACAGGTACAAACGCGAATAAGCGTCTCAGTTGTTACTTCGCTGTGCCTGAAAAGCGCGCTTTTTTTTTCGCAAACGCAGACTGTGCAACGATTGTAGTGACCTATGTGCGCCCAGTAACTACAACAGAATCGTTTCGACGAAAGCCCAAGGCCAGCCACGACGTACGATTGTCCCCACCGCAAAATAAGGGCGCGCAATAGAACGTCCAGCTCCCTCCTCTCCGTGGAGCAAAGCACGCGTGTGGGAGGTAAGAGCGCGCGCTCGCGAGTCGTGACGATGTGGCAAAGCGCGCTTATTGCACCGTTTTGCTGGTAGTGCTGAAAACACTATATTCACCCCCCCCCCCCCCCCCCAAGATGCCCGTCACCAGCAGTAAGTGGTAGATATAGATAGCTTGCCGTTTGAACGGTGAAAGCGGTGCTCCTTCGTGGCTCAGAGTATAACGCCCCGCACTCGCAATTCAGAGGTCCCACGTTCGATTCCGCATGCCGAAGTCTTTTCCGAATTATTGTAGCGTTAGCTACACTGGTCTCACTGAGCCAATTTGCGCGTGGCACTGGTCTGCGCATGCGCAATGATACTCCGCCGCCGCCGCGCGCGGCTCTCCGCCGGTGTGCGCGCAATTCGATGCGCTGCGCAGACGATTAGTGGTGTCACGCACCGGAGCCGGCACCTACCTCGCACTCGGCCGCGGCCGCGCGCGACTCGCCGCCGCTGGTGTGCGCTTTCAGAGGAGTGCCGTCATAGCCTTGGTAGACATATGGACGCCGACGCGCGCGCCTTCCCTGTGCAGTCGCCATATGACACTGTGCTGGAGCCGCTTGACAGCGCCTCTGACTGACGTTTGCCACTGTGGTATAGCCATGGAGAAGGAGAGTGCAAATGCTGCTCAACGGTGCAGTAGAGTGGAGAAGCTTAACTCATCGGATCCCGAAGTAGTTGCCCGGCGAAATAAATATACATGTGCCACATAATACGTATACCGTGTGTGTGTCATTGGAACAGCTGTAAGCATGATATCTGGAAAGCTAAGAATAATCAGCTGAACCTTTGCTAACGCTACGTATATCCTGGCATAGCTGAGCTAAGCCACTGCCTTTTTTTTTTCTTGAGTTTTTGTTTATATAGATACGTATACGGTTAGTGACAGCGACGCCGGCGGCGAAATCCAGCCGAGAGTGGCCACATAATTGCTATTGCAATAAGAAATAAATAAATAAACACTTTACATTGATGTTCACCACAACAACCTGCGTATGCTTCGTCGTATCGCACTGGTGCATCGCGCTGAAACATAAAATGCATGACGGTTCTTTTAGAGTTACAATTTGCCACAATTACATTAGATGACCAGCAGAAGCTAAGAGAGAGAATTTATTTACAGAAAGGTAGAGAGGTCGGCCTGAGAAGCTAAGTATTCTTTAAGCTGTGCGATACTTGATGACCCTAAATTAGCATATTGAGATCAAGACACTTAAAGGCTTGCAGTGAACAGCCACTCATTCTAGTGCTATCAACGCGTTAAATGGCACATAAAGTCCGAGTTCTAGTACTCACCGTCGTTGCGTTTCTGTACAATCATTTCAGCCGCGGACTTGCTCATCACCGGAGAGATAAGCAGCGGCGTTGCCACCTGATTGGCCATGACGATCGCCCGAAGGGTGGCCTCCGCCTCCACCTAGTTTTCAGACGCGAACGTTGCAAATGGGAAGAAGCAGGAAAAGACACCTTCATTTTATGCACAATGTTACACTAGAGCTAAAAACATCTTAGAGTCATGTCTTCGTTCTTTCTGAACGTTTCGATTGGAGAGTGAAGCGCTGTCCTGTCTGGAATTGATTTTTCGCTACGCGTGACGATGCGCTTTCAAGAAAAGGTGGAATGCTTCTATACGAACCTTAACTTTGTTACACTTTTTCAACGCGTATTACCATTTCTTAGTGCTTCCTTCTGCAGCGAAGCTGTTAATGTCTTCGTCATGCCGTGAGGCGACACCACAAGGCTATCGTTATCATCACCTCTACATCATCATCTTCTGCTTCGCTCCCATAAAACGCGCACCCATTCGTCCAGCGTAGAATGCAATAACTCTGGTAGCCCAGAGAACAAGCATAGCGAGTGATAGATAGATATAAAAGGGAAAAAGAGAGAGATGATAGAAGGCGAGAGGATTAGTACAAAGAAAGAGAGAGCTAAAGAAACAGAAATAGTGGGAAACAAATGGAAGGATAAAAAGACATAGAAAGAAATAGAGAAAGAGATGGAAGGTAAGACGCAAGAGCAAAGACAAAGATAGCAAGCATAGTCATCTAAGGTATAGCATGGCCTCGGAGATGGCGCGAGTGCCGGCCATCTCGGCGGCTATGCGTATTGTATAATGAAATTTGATTTGTTCTAACCATTTTAAAATTCATTAGATCCAAAACTAACATGTCATCCCCTATCTAAATAATAGTTTCTCTGCCAATGCCCCAGAGTGGGTGTGAGTCATTCGTTTAGGCCATCATCATCATCATCATCATCATCATCATCATCATCATCATCAGCTCTGCTGCTTCCCCAATCTTCGCAAAACTACAGCGTGGCTGTCTTTTCTTTATCCTACGCTTATAGTGCACACAATTCATTTCGACGTGATTCATTTAAGACTATTCCACGACATAAAGACGGGCAATGAAAAGAATAAAATTACGACAAAACACTTGAATGCACTGGTGCATTGAAACGTTTCTGTAAAGTAAGAAATAGACAATTTTGTTTGTTTGTTTGTTTGTTTGTTTGTTTGTTTGTTTGTTTGTTTAATAAGGAGGAATGACTTGAAAATGAATGTTGCGCCCCTTAACCACAGTCCTCGGGGCCACACGATTATGACCCCGATAACACTGCTGAAAATTCACCATTACATTTAATCGACCACGTTTGAGACTCAATAGTCGCCAACTTAATAGATATAGGAGAATACAGGATGAAGAGCTTATCACAATATCAACAACTCACCTCCTCGGGCTGGCTGTAGACCACGCCTTCAGGTCCCGTTATTCCCAGGTCGAGGATCCTTTTCTGGTTCTGCAGGTGTGGACAAGACGAGGGCTCTTGACTTACATATTACTGTTCGCGATTATTTTCATTCCGCTTCTCGAAAGAGCGTGCATATAAAAAACAAGGAACCAAAATTTTGCTTTTCCCAAGACTAATATTAAGCAGAGCGACTTGTTGGGCGAGTTGGTTCATTTTTAACGTAGCTTATGGCGCGAAAAAAAAAAAAAAACACTAGAGACGGATAAGCACGTGTTCGTCTCTCGTTTTTTTTTTTTTTTTCACGCGCCATAAGCTACGTTAGTAATAGCAATTTCCGCAGGGGTGTACGTGAAGAAAACCATCATACGACTATGGGCCACGGCGTAGTGGAGGGCTCCGGTATTTTCGACCACCTCTAGTTTCACGTGCACCTAAATCTTAGTATAGACACGCCCCTCAGGCATTTTTGGCCTTCATCAAAAATCTGACCGCCTCTGGCGGTATTCGATCCCGCCACCTTCCGGCCAGCAGTCGAGACGACCGCGGCGGGTGAACGTTGAAGTAAGAATCCCAAACAAGTGCAGGCATAAGCTGTTCTTCCGCAACGATGTTGCCGCTAAATCACTTTCTATACGTCGATGTGCGTGACTAAAGATTCTCATCCCTTCATACATCGGGATACCATATTTGCTCTTACCTCTGCGATGATGCCTCCGTGCTCGGCATGCACCGTAGTGAGAGCCCCCAGATGCTTAGACACTTCGAGCAGATGCATCAGCTGAAGATCGCTCAGCATCAGGGACTCCATGCTGAGGTAAGCCCTGAAGGCGTTCACACCTGTGTCAGGTTTTCAAAAAAAAGAGATTGTTTAAGAGTTTCAGTAATCCGCGTCGTTGACGTCGTATCCCTACACATTGAACGCAAAGTACATAATTCTGTGCACAATTGACATGTCGGCAATCGCATAAACGCCAGCTGATAACTGCTCACTGTTTCAGCGCCCAAGTATCGTCCCTATGGTTGCTCACGATAAGCGCAATTAAGGCGGGAAGAAATCGTTAGTACATATAACACAGCACGTGTGTTGAACTAGCCTCCAAGTTTAAGTAAGTGTGTGTGTTCAGCGCTTCTGCAACCCTTTAACTGGTTTTCACAACTAATTAGGCCATAAATTGCAATAGGTTAATTAATAACGGACCGCGGGAATTATATGCGAGACTAAGATGTGGGTATTTCTGCTAGCCACACAATCGAACTTAGGTAATGAATTTAAAGTTAGCTATAGGGTCAACTTTTTAACCAATGAAGTCGCGCAAAAATTTCATCGAGAAAAAGGTGAAATAATCATCCGGCGTAGAGCTCCTTCTTTTTACGAAGCTTCTTTTTTTCTCAACAAATACAAGGTTACTGCGAGTGGCAGTGAAAATAATGTGACCCCCCCTCCCTTCACTCACATTTTCTCCTGCGTCCTCGTTATAATTTTGATAAGTTCACATAACCTGAGCAGCGCGAACCCTGAACACCACAAGAAACGATATATGAAATAACAATTTGAAACGAAACTAATAACTATAGTATATACTTTTGTTAGGCTGATTGGTCACGTGATTGCCTAATACCCTTCTGTATAAACAGACAAAGTGAAAAAAAAAAAGTCCTGTTCAATGAAAGATGCGTGCCAGCGGTGTAACTTATATCCCTGCGGTTGTGATTTAGGCCATACAATGCACGCAGCGTCCGAAGCATTTTTTCGGGCAATTAGCAACCTGCAAGTAAGTTTTCTCAAAACGTTTCGGCTCTTTGGCAGCAGCGGTGGCAGAACCGGCAGATCTACTGATTTTCGTCTGTTTGCGCAGATTTTTTTCGTCGACCACTGCCTTCCTGTCGGTGGCCTGTGTGGAAACCATCTCCCTGCTATCAAGTTTCATCGCATCGTGTGCCATTTTCACGCCGCGATTTCTTCGGATCAACTGATATCTCCAACTGAAGCTACCGACGATCTTACCGCTGGGGGCCACCACCATCACCGAGCTTCACTATAAAAGTCACCGACCCTGAGGACAGCGGCTCTTTGGCAGCAGCGGTGGCAGAACCGGCAGATCTACTGATTTTCGTCTGTTTGCGCAGGTTAGTTCACGCCCGGTTTAAATTTGCTTTGTTGTTCTTAGCGAGTTTTCTGTGCTGCCGCTGCTGCCAAGTGAATTGTATTTGTTCTGTGTGCTACATTTCCTGGTACTATGTCGACACTAAATGCATGCCCTACATGTAACGATGCCATTAAATCCGATGAATTGTCGGTGGCATGTGGCGAGTGTAGCCACTGTTTTCACATTGGAACATGTGCAGGCATATCAGAAAAACAGTATAAAAAGAAGTCCGAATCGGCTAGGCAAAAGTGGGTTTGCTCTACGTGCAAAGATAGTGGAAAAAGTGTCGAGATCACTGAAGGGAGGCCGGAAGCTGAAGTTGACATCAGATCTATTCTCAGTGGCATAAGTCAGAAGTTAGACGAGTTGTTGCCGCTCAGGGAAACAGTGCCAAACATCGAGCGGTCGATACAGCTCATGTCGGACAAGTACGATGAGATGTTGACAAGGCTTGCCGCACAAGAAAAAGATACGAAAGAAATACGGAAAAGACTTGAACGCCTTGAACAGGACACCTGCGCCAGTGATGATGCTTCAAAAAAACTTGAGGCCGATTTAAATGAGCTCGAGTGGAGAAGCCGCAAGTTTAACTTGGAAATACATGGTGTAAGCGTCTCTGAAGGTGAAAATTTGCTTGCAAAGGTAAATTCTGTTGCCAGCATGATTGACGTTTGTGCACTGGACGCAGCAGACGTCGCTGCCATTCACCGCCTCCCATGCAAATTTGGCAAAACACCAGGTATAATCGTTCGGTATGTCAGACAATCTGTTAGAGACGAATGGCTGCATAACCGGTCAAAACTGAGAGAAAAGAAATCAAGCCTGTTCATCCAAGAGAACTTGACCAGCCAAAGTCGGCAACTGCTTCGAGAGGCTAAGGAATGGGCGAGGGAAAGTCGGTACAAATACGCATGGCACAAGAACGGGAAAATCCTGCTGCGCAAATCTGACGGCGATTCCGTGTTAGTAGTGCGTCACAGGACCGACTTTCCCGTCTAAGCCTGCTAGTTGCTGACTGTATCTAGATTATTTCATTCCTCAAAATGGCTAGTCAAAGTCCCTTTCTTCCACACGAGCTAGACGCTTTTGTGACAAGTCATCACGCACATTCCTTGAAGTGCCTTCATCTAAACGTTCGTTCACTCTATAACAAGGAAGAAGATATAAATGACTTCATCAATGGTTTTCATTTTCTGTTTGATGCAGTAATGCTTAGTGAAACTTGGTGCAGGGATGATCGTGATTTGTTCAAATTTCCGTCTTATCAATCGTATTGTGTAAACAGAACTAATCGCCGAGGCGGTGGCGTTATGCTGTTGCTAAGAGAGCACGTAAACTGCGAGCTGCTTTCCAACTTTTGTATCTGTTGTGATGATTTTGAAATAATAACAGCTCGTGTGAATGACTGTATGTTTTCCGTTTGCTATAGACCACCAAGTGGAAATCTTCCTAGTTTCTTTTGTTTCTATGAACAGCTGTTATCATTTGTTTCAGAAACTGGCGATTATTTGGTGTCTGCTGGTGATTTTAATATCGACCTGTTGACCATTTCTGCACCACAAAAGGCCATGTTAACCATGCTGACTTCTAACGGATGCGAAAATTTAATCTATGTACCGACAAGGGTAACTACTGAAAGCGAAACACTGTTAGATTTATTTATTACTAATATCGATTCTACAAAAGCCAACAGTGGTGTAATAACGTGGGACCTTAGTGACCACCTCCCAATATTTGCTCTACTAAGAAAGCAAAATTTCACGATAAATGAAAAGCATCAGTACATTTCTTTTCAAAATATTACACAAACAGGTTTGGATAATTTTAGAGCTGAATTGCTACTTAGCGATATTCCGCAAATTCTGAAAATAGACGACGTTGACATTGCATACAGTAAACTTATTGATGAAATTTCTCGTGTGTATAAGCGTCACTTCCCACAAAAAAAGTTTAAATTGGGTAAAAAAATAAGAAAACCATGGATAACCCCTGAATTGTTACAAAAAATTAAGTGTAAAAATGCGCTTTATCACAAGTTCATTAAAAGTAAGGAACCAAGCATATTGAAAGAATACAAGTCGCTTAGAAACAAACTAAACAAAGAACTAAGGTCACACAGGAAATGCTATTTTCAAGCTGAGTTTGATAGCTGCTCGAAAAAACCCGATATGTTATGGAAAAAGCTTAATACTGTCTTAAATCGCCGTAAATCGTCTCCACGTGTAGAAAAGCTATTTCTTGGTGGCCACGAAATATGGGGCGATGATTTGGCGAATACATTTAATGATTATTTTGTGAGCAATTCTAATTCTTGTGCATCTGCTGATATTACAAAATTTATGCCTGATAGCAATCCATCTTCCTTTTTCCTTCGCCCATTTACAGAGTCTGAAGTACTGTCAGTTTTTCTTTCGCTTAAAAATAGCTCAAGTTGTGACGTTGAGGGCATGCAGGTTCGTCCAATCAAGTATGTGCTTGATTTAATTTGTCCATATCTTACCTACATCTTTAATCTGTCTTTGGCGAGCGCTATCTTTCCCAGGAGGATGCAGATCGCAAGAGTTTCTGTGCTTTTAAGAAAGGTGACATAAACGATATCAAAAATTATAGACCTATTTCGATATTACCAGTATTATCCAAAGGGCTGGAGAAACTTATACACGTGCAAATGTCTAATTTTTTCGATAAGCACAATCTTATATCTACAGCCCAATTTGGATTTAGAAAACACCTTTCTACTGAGTTAGCCTTGCTACAACAAAAAGAATTCATTTTAACACAATTTGAAAGTAAGAATCTTGTGCTCGGCCTTTACATTGATTTCAGTAAAGCATTTGATTGTATCCATCATTCCATACTACTTAAAAAACTTGAAACCTATGGTATTCGCGGGCACTGTTTAAACCTCGTGAAGTCGTATCTAGATCATCGCCATCAGTACGTCCAGATTGAGCATTACCGTTCAGACTTAAAACACATCAGCAGAGGCGTTCCTCAAGGTAGTATTCTCGGCCCATTTCTTTTTATAGTTTACATCAATGACCTAGTAAATATCTACAGTGATGCGAAATACGTTATGTACGCTGATGACGCTAGCCTATTTTTTTCGTCACCTGAACTTGGTAGCCTTCAGAATAACACCAACACTGCTCTAAGGGCGCTCCAAGAATGGTCAGCAGCAAACGTTTTGCAAATTAATACTAAAAAGACAAAAGCCGTGATTTTCAGACCAAAATCTAAGCAGATAACCTGCGATCACATCACCCTTCTTTACACAAATGAAGCAATAGAAATAGTGAGTAGTGTGAAAATACTGGGAGTTACCTTCACACAAAATATGCTTTGGGATTTACACATCGAATCAGTTTTAGGCAAGCTATCTCGTGTGGTTGGTATGATGGCGCGTCACAGATTGATATTACCTTTTAAAATAAAGCTTCTTGTTTACAATGCGCTCTTTTTTTCTTCCTTGTATTATTGTTTTTTGGTATGGGGTACGACGACATATACAAATCTTGAAAGACTTCATGTACTGCAGAAAAAATTTCTACGGGCGCTTTTCAATGTACCCTACAATTCCCATACTTCAGATTTATTCTTGAAGGGAAATGTCATCCGCGTGTTTACCCTATACAATTACAAGTTAAGTATAGCGTTCAAACGAGAGATAAAAGAAAACCTAAAGTTTTTCCACGAGTTATCTCATCTTGCCAAAAACACCCATTCATACAGCACTCGTTACATAGAACAGTGGAAGGTGGTCACTGCGCGGACAAGCTATTCTATGCAGAAGCTATCATACACGCTGCCAACCCTTTTAAATTCATTTCATAAATTACACATTGAATTGAAAATAACTTCTGCACGAACACTGCGCGAGCATTTCATCAATTCATGCTAACATAGTAAATAGTGTAAAATATTGCTTTTTTTCATTCTTCCTTACTGATGTGTTTTTTTTTAGACATATCTGTATTCCGAATATGTGTTTCTTGTGATTTTTTTTTTCTCTTTATGTGAATGTTTGCCATCGCTGCCTGCACTGTAGGGGTGGCTGCGGGCCTCTGTCAAGTTGCTTGTGCTTTCAAGCAACTTTTACCCGCAGTCTCCTCCATCGCTGATGGAAATAAAAATTATTATTATTATTATTATTTCTCTTTTTAGGAGTCAAGCCCTAAAAAGAAAAACGTCGTCCGGCGTCTACAGCAGATGTAGCACAGGTGCATGTGAACAAACCAAAACATCTGTGAACAACAAAAAACATTTTTACAACAATGTTTTCAAAGGGCTGTTAACACTAACAAAAAAAATTAAAAAGGCTGCAACAACGTAAAAACACAGACATTTAACCGCCCATCAATTAAGGCATAGAAAGAACAAAAGGTTAACAAGAACAATATATAAGGCTGTTAACCAAAACAAAATAGAAGGCCACGATTCACGATGTGATGCGCACTGCTTTGTTCCATCAACAACATTCACTTCGCGGTAATGCGCGGATTTTTTTTCTTCTTCGAAAACCGGACAATCACTGCCGAATAGTGGCGCATTTAGTTTGTAATAATAATGTTTGGGGTTTAACGTCCTAAACTCACGATAATGTTATGTGGAACCTTGTTATGGATGGCTCCGGCAATTTCGATTGCCTGGCGTTCTCTAATGCGCATCTACATGTAAATACACGGGCCCCAAGCATTTCAACCCCATTGAAATGCGGCTGCCACAGCCGGGATTCGATCCCGTGACCTTTGGGTCTGCGGTGAAGCAACACAACCGCCAGACCACCGCGGCGATGCTCCTTTATAGTTGTGCTCGTTATATGCAAAATGTTATGCACAAGAAAGACGCCTTTTTCTTTTTTAGCTGCTCTAAACTGCGTGTTGCGCATTCATTGTTGTGCAAATACACTGTGCTAATTTTTCGCGGTAAAACTAGAAAGTCATCATCGATGACTGTTTTTTTTTTTTTTAACGCTCGGCAGAGGGTAGGCTTCTTCCTTGAACAGAAAAGCATTGAGGGTGAATGCGCCCGCCACAGTAATGCTAGAGTGCTCTGGGGCGAAAGTACTCGTTTGGCTCACCATTTGTGATGTATTGACCGAAATGCCATCCTTAACAAGATGCGAAGTAAGTGCAGATTATAAGGCAAATAGGTACAAATGTTGACCAGCCCGCACGCACTCTGTCATCTCTATCTCTTCATTTCTAAAAATTACTTCTTGAATTTTGCGGAGTCAGTTACAAAATATCGTACTCACAATGGGTAGAAAGAAAAGTGCATCGATCACAGAAGAAATTGAAAGGAAGACATTTTGGATCGCCCGAAGGAAAACTTATTCGCATTAATTTATCTACTTATTACGATGAAACTGTTCTGGAAGACTGCTCTTCATCAGAATCTCTACTTAAAAGTGAATACAACTTCAACAGTTGCATTTACATGAAATGATGACAATGTCACTATTATAACAGCGATAGTTACCATTTACCCTGACAAGTGTTTCACAGCTATCCGCTGCATGGCAAACGGGAACCTCGCTTGTGGACGGCTCTGTTTCGACGCGTTACTATCATCGTGGCCGCTTATCATAATCTTATCATAATCAACGCCGTCGTCATCACTTATATCATCACTGTAATTGTCATCATTATAATAATCGTGCATGGGGCCTCTGCTTGCTCACGCCTCCGCTTTAAGACGTTCATCATCACCGTTCTGTGTCGCCGTCACCAGCGAGTTTATCCTCATGTTCAACATGTCCAACGCATCGTCGTCAGTCTCATCACCATTCAGGGCTCATTTGCTCGCGCGCAGCCCCGACTTACATGTGTTAATTATCATCATTGTCATCGTTGAACAGCATCAGTATCCTCGACGATCAGTGTTAGCGGTAATTTAATAAACACGAGCCAGCATTAACCAACAGTTAGCCAGTGCTAGCTAACATTAGCTGGCACTTCTGAGTATGTGAGCAAGCATATTAGCTAGCTAAGGAAAACCTGTACTCGAGGCAAGTTGAACATATTATTGAGGTTATCGCCGACATCATCGTGGGGTTCATCAGAGCCACTTGTGGAAAGTGGGGTAGAACAGACCTACCAGGACATTGTCTTGAATATTGTATTGCTTCCCATGTTACGTACCCACCGTGAATGCTTGCGCGAGAAAGAGCCTAGGGCGGCTTCCGATTGTCGTTACACAAGAATACCAAGAGCGAACAACACACTTCGATTCTCTCGGGCATCTTGGAGGCCTCACCTTTGTCCTTGACGAGCGTCTCGAGCTCTTCCTTTGTCTTCGGGTCGAAAGAGGTGACGGCCAGCTGAAGGCCGTAGTCGCAGCACACCTTCTCGTCGGCCCAGCTTTTCCACTTCTCGAAGGCCTCCAGCGGAGAGCACGTGGTGTCCAGAACGCAGTCAACTGGAAGAGGAGACGAGCGTAAAAATTACCTCGATTCCTGCTGCACGCAACTTTCTCGTGCATACACGCTGGCGGGTCCCGGAGATACAACTTTTCAATTTTCTAGACGAAGAACATGGGTGGTAAGGATCTTGTGGAAACAGAAATATAACTGTCGCTTGTTGGATGACACACAAAACAATATAATACGAAGCGTTCGACGAACAGTCGAGTGGCGAGGGAACATACTTGTGCAATGAACATACACTAGCTAAGGTAAAAAAATTGGCCCCGTATCTGCATGTTCCATTGCAAATGTCGTCGAAAGACGGTAGTCTTGCGTCTGAAGAGAGTGACCTAAACGTTTATTTCATGTTCTACGCAAGAAAATCGGTGAATTGTATTGTGGAAGCGCTGCGTTAGATAGTCTCGATCCATGCAACGAAGGCGAACGAGCGCATCGAGGCACGTTAGACACGAGCGCTATTCGGCAGTTATCTTCGAAAACGAAGGAAGGCGTGCGCGCCCATCTTGAAGGTGATAAGGTGTAGAACGCAAAGCGACGGGTAGGTTCCACTACCTTGTCGTCTTAGCAAAGCGTTGGAAACACTTGCCTTTTTGAGCATCGCGTTGCATTCTCAGCGCAGCGTGATAAACGCTACGGTCCTTAGAAATACTTTTGTATGCCTTTTATAGTGTAAAAAAATTGCCCGCAGCTTCCCTCGGGGGAACACTGAGGAGGATGCGGACCATATAATTGGTTAACGGGGTGTTAAAGTGCGACTTACTTGGGTCGATGGCTGTTGTAGGAGGGGGTGTTAAATGAGTGGACACGTACACACGTATGCGAAAGGGCGGCGCTGGTCGAAGGGACGTCGATCATTGTGTTTGTGGATTCGTTGGAATTCATTTCACCGCGACCTTGGACGTCGACGCGCCGTACAAACCAACCGACGAGCGGCAACTGAGCGAGCGAGCGCCGACCTTGAGTATATATACAGCACGACGGCGCATGCACTGTCAGCTGTTGAATGTTCTCGAAGCGCGACGCCACATGCGCGTCCACTGGAGAATCAGGAGAATTGTAGATGTCGAACGCGGTGTGTAGAGGAGGAAGGGTGCACAGATGGTGGAGGAGTGAAGCGCGCGCGGTGTGTAGAGGAGGAAGGGATGCACAGATGGTGGAAGAGTGGGCGACGGCGCGACGGCGCATGCGCGCGCGTCAGCTGTCGAATGTTCGAGAAGCGGTGCGGACGGCGCGGACGGCGCACTACAAGGCGCGAGTATAAGATGCTCCGCATCTAAAACACGCATGCAAAATATCGACGTGTAGTTATGGTGCCTCAGATATGCGCAATAGTTGCTTTTTAATCGACTGTCGCACAAGTATGCACGCTGAAACTTGAGCAATATTAGTGGGCGCTGCGGAAGGGGTTGACCGTTTTGGGGTATCGTTTAGTGCCGTTTGGAGTATCGATACACTCTAAGCCAAAAATGACCGAAATGGGAGCAACGGCTGTTTTTACTCCTTCAGACCGACTGTTACTCTCAGAAAAGACCAAGCGGAACAAGATGGCCGACTTGTTCGAGAATGGGGGAGCAACTGTATTCATCTTAAGTTTGTAAGGGAGCAACGGAAGGAGGAACCGCTGTAAATGCTCTCGTCACGCAACGGTTACTCCCCGGCAGGACACCGCACACAAATATGCATGCCGCCCACATTGATATTCATGGGCCAGATTATTGTTTGTTCTGTGTGCCAAACTTCACCAAACCAAAACAGTGATTTATTTTAGCATCCGTAGATAATAAGATAGCAGCGCTGGCTGAACACAGAAGGCCTGAGAATACAGTACGGCAAATACCTAACACACGCAGCAGCAGAATGGAGAGTTGGCACGTCAAAGCGGACCGAACGCCGAAACACGTGCAAAACAACGATAAAAATAGCCTAGACACGCCGTTCGTCCGCGAAGTAAGGGCGTCAAAGTCGATCAAGCACCGAAACACGTGCATAAGGAGCCCCCCCCCCCCCCCCGCCCAGATATATCGGAGAAGAAAAAAAAAAAAAAAAAAAGCGGACCCAGACGCGCTTCTCATCAGCCATACACTTAGTAGCACGCTTCACCGTGTAGTTTGAGGGCAGAATGACAAATCTGCGCCATCTGCGCCCGCACGACAAGTGTGGCGCTAGCGTAGCAAACGATGTAAGTTACAAAGTAATTTTTATTCAGTGTTTATGTTGACTAGCACTGAATAAAAATTATACTCAATTTTTTATGTTTATTTATGGGTTTTAGTGTACCTCAGTTTTTTTTTATAATTGTATTAGGAGAACACACTGAAATCATTGCGCTGACGCCTGTGCTGCCACTACTCGACGTTTTTTTTTTTTTTTTTTCGGCGCAACTAGGTTCGCGTTCGCAGTACTCATAATCATTTGGTCTGTAGTCGGTGAGCACATGAACGTGCGGGCTTGTGAGCTATGTTTTGATCGTGTGTGTGTGTCGCAGATTTGCGTTTCTACTTATTCGTGATGAAGGTTAGTGTATATTTATCTTTATGGAGCGCGAAGTAGTTGTGGATTTTGCTGCCGGGTGGAACAAACACATCGTAAACACGTCTTCAGCTATCTGCAAGCCTGTTCGCTCGTCGGACAAAGGACTGTGCATGCATCAGCGTGCAGGTGAGTGGCATTTCCAGCAAGATTTAATGCTCTTACAATACATTGTTGAGTGGTTGCGCTATTGAAAGAGAAATGATTTGCTCTTATTCGCCGTATCCATTGCTTGCCGTATCGGACTAAATTACCTCTATTACCGCCTGCATACCCTCTTGCTTCCCCTGTCACCACTGCAGTGCCAGTGTACTTTTGCAGTTAAAAGTTCATTTCCGCAACACTACCTCGCTTGAAAAAACATTGGGGCGGGGTTGTAGCTGCATTCATACTGGCACTTTTCTACCATTGGCTTTATGTAATGTTAACGGCTGAGTGTTGGGGCCTTGGGCCGCATTTTTTAGAGCTGTAAAGTGTATGTAAATCAGTAAGTGAACAAATCATTGTCGCATCACTTCACTGGCATAGCCAGGCGGTTGCGCACAGAATTTTTTTAGGCCGGGCGTAGGGAGCTCAAATTGACGACCATATTCGCTTGCCCGGCCTATTCAGATAAGCGGACCCCCCCCCCCCCCCCCTCCCCGCACGCCTAAAAAAAAAAAAAATCTGCCCACATCACTGCGTCACTTGCTTCACCTCTGCGCTGAACGTACTATTTTATAAGCGCACCATCAAGCGAGCAGTTTACATATTGACAGAACAATTGGAGGAGGAATGACCCAAATCTTTCAGATTTCTTTAGAGATGCAAAACCTTAGCAAAACTGAATATTGTAAAAGACAATCATAAATGCTGTATGTTCTCGTTAGCGTTGTCATTATTCTGCATCATGAAATCTTTATGCGCTGTGAAAACTTGGCATGCCGTTGAAGTCACATATCGACGTTAATACCGATCGACGAAAATTTCGACAACCTCAATAACACCGTTTGGGATTTGCCGCATGCACATAATTAGGCTGATTCCCACTTGGCTGTTCTTAACCTGACTTCACTGCTACCAAATGAAACAATATTTGATGCATGTCTTTTACTTTTTTTTTCAGAGATATGACACAAATTTGGTTATACTGCAGATGCTCCCAACGATGCTAAAGTACAGAAAGCAAGTGAATTTTGGTAAGTGCAGACTTTTTGTACTACGTATATGAATGCATCGCTTTTTAGGGGCAAACTGTGCATGTGTTGGCCAGAGAATAGTTCATCATGCCACATGGTTACACTGGCACTGACAATTCGACATGGCTCCGCTGGCCCGTGTGTGTGCTCACACTGTTACCGTTAAGATAAAATGTTTATGTTTTCATTGCAGGGATTGCTGTTTGTACTAAAAAGCCAAGTGCCAAGATTTGTTTACGCTGGTACTCCTAAAAGTATGCTTTCCCTATTTACATGGATTTTGGCTTGCACAAAGCATAACACTTGGGCCTAGATTCACAAAGCTGTCCATGCGCAGGCCTTCATAACAGCGTTTCTTGACTTGCCTTTACCCTGTTTTCTGCAGATGTTTCGAGGGTTTAAAAGTGCCACAGCATGTTGACCTCCCCCACTCTGAAATATTCGCGTTCAAAGTTCCGCAAGAGTGGGCTTAACTTTCTTGTGCACCTCTTTGCTAGTCCAAGATAATGAAGTGTTATGCTCTTACTAGAGGTGGCAGTGTTTCTAATGTTTGTATTTCCATCACATTCACCAAGTATGCGATCTTGGCTTGACTGGTAGCACATCCTCAACAAATGTCTTTGTGGCACATGTAGAAGGCAGTACAAAATGAATAGGCAGACATTCACACCGGGAGCTAACTTCTAATAATGCTTTTTTTTTTTTGGAAACCACGGTGTGCTTATTCCAATTTGTCTAACAAGCAGTAACCTGTTTGGCTGTGAACCAACAAGACGTTGAACTAATAGAAGCATCACATCTTGTTGCTCTCAAATATATATGTATTGGCAACCTATCTGTGACACTGTCAAACAAAGAATCAGAATATCTGTGCATGCCTTAAGATATATTGCTTCCTCGACAACCGAGTGAACAAATGCACCCTAGTTTACTAAATTTAAAGCATTTTTTCAAGGTAGCACGGTCTACATTTTTTGTCTATAGTTTTGTCCAGCCGTTTGCGTCAGGTACAAAGAAATATACTGAAGATTATCATGTAGCCTCTGCAAATGGTTGCTTTCAAGCAGGCTTTGCCTGCTTGGCTTGTGCCTACAGGTATTGCACAATTCAAGACGCAGCAGCGTATGATAGAACAGTAGAATCGAGAGCATCTATGTGCACGAGCTAAATAAGTATTTTAACATGAGCGGACAGTACGTGTTATTTGCCACACGCATGACCACACTTAGAATGCCCATTGGTGAATGGGCTCATAGAAATGTCACTCAGCTGTGTATAGGAAACAAGTTAGCTGAACCTAAGGGTATCTTTAACTGCTACAAATATGCCTTGTTGAGGTGCTGCACATTTTCTTCCAGAATATTGCTGTCTGAGACATCATGTGAAGAGCGTCTATCACATCAGCATTTATATGGCTTGCCAAGTAACGTTTGGCCGAACCTTCCTTTTTTCACATTTCGTTTTGCAGTAGACATCCTAGAATGTAAGCGCTGCTGCAGTGTGTGTGACTCATTGTTATGAATTGATTCTGGCATGTTTAACCTCACACTTCTATTTTTTTTCTTGCAGCAATGAGATGCTTCACATATGCCTGCGGTGACGTTCCGCTGCGCTAGCCTGATGGAAACACCAGCTGCGAAACTTGAGTTCTTCAGAATTGGAGAAGTTGCCCTTCTCTCACCAATGATGACACAGACTGCCCTATGCTAGAAATTCAAGATTGTTTATCCACGGATGACGCAGAAAACCTTTGATGTATTGTGTTTGTTTAGTGCTGGCTGTAGTGTGGCGAAGTCTACTTTTACGTGTGGTCACACGTCGCCTCATAAAAAGAACAATAAAGCATTTATTTTCCTTTCAATATTGTCCACTTTTTGTGTTAGAAGCACCCAAGCAGTGCTCTTCCAAGGAGCTCTCGCCGTGTGTTAAGTGTGTGACAAGCATACTCGAGATAAATACTCATTTCCCCAAGGAGTAACTGGAAGCATGTGCAGTTGGTTTTCAGAGAGTAACTGCGAACACGTGTGAGGAACGGTAAAGAGTAACTGTTGCTCTTAGAAGAGCAACTGGTGGGAGTAATGGTTGGTCGGCATGGAGCAACTGGTGGGAGTAACTGTTGGTCTGGAGGGAGTAACTGTTCATCCCCCGAAGGAGGAACTGAAAGGAGAGCGACGGTTCCTCCCTCTGCAGTTACTCCTTTTAGGAGAGTAATGGGAGTGGCAATGCAATTGCTCCCTGAAAGGAGCAACCCCTATACCCCTGTTGCTCCGTTTTGGCTTAGAGTGTACGGTGGACGAACAGACAAATGTACAGACAGAAAGACAGAAAGACCAAAATTTTTGCGTCGAAGTACCCCAAGAAAGACTGTTGTCTTTAAAAATAGCAACGAATAAGGCATTGACGTTTCGGGCCCGTAAGGGTTCCTTGATATCAAGAGACAAGGAACACATACGGGACCCGAAACGTCAATGGCTTGTTCGTTCCTATTTTTTACCATGGCGAGGTATGTTTGTTGCACAAAGACAACAGTCTAGAAGCTCACTTGCGGGTACTCATTTTTGGAAGCGTACAACAAGTGTATAACGATATAGGAGTAGTTGGAACTATCTAGGATTTGCCACCCGGTGGGAGCTCGTCTTCTGTGCAAGGCCTGTACTGAAGATATTGCTGAAATAAACAGCGTACGTGGATATGTGTGTCGCAACTAAACGCCGACGAATGTGACACGAGTCCAGTCAACTCACTGATCATGGTGGTCCCTCCGGAGACGGCAGCTCGGGTGCCCGTGTAGAAGTCGTCGGCCGACTTGACGCCGCTGGGCAGGGGGAGCTGAAAGTGAGTGGCAGTGTCGATTCCACCTGCGGGACGAGAAGGCCTTCAATGTTGTTTTCAGAATACCGAGACCTCGCTACCTCGTGTACGAATGAAGGTAGTAGCAAGAACCGCAGAAGTTTCAGAGGCGAAGCACCCCTTGGCCGAAGCTTGTCCAGTGTACTTTGGGCCCGGTGTACTTTGCCCGGTGTACTTTGCCCGGTGTACTTTGTCAAGGCTACATTACATGCGGCAACGATCGGGTGACGTACGGTAATGTGAGACACAAGCAAAGGTTTCACGATAGACTAATGTCAATCGTAATAGCGGCAGACCAATATAAAACGCCTACAAGCACGCACTCATACTAGTCGGCGACTTCAACGAGGACGTTATGGACCTTTCGACCTATATAGCCTTGTCGTCGACTCTTAATTGTCATTTTATGTCACTTCAATTTACAATATATGGGGCAACACTAAAATAACGCATGGTTACTCACCCATACGACACCCAGAGCTTCAGCCGCTCGTCACGATTCATTTCGTAGAGATGTGTTTTTTTTTTTCATAACACACTATCAAATTGCCACCCCCCTAAACTTTCTTCTAATAGGTGTTATGATGACGATCACACAGAAAAATGGATTTGCACATGCATAGTTAAGCTCCTGAATGTGATGCAAAGTCAACATCAGCTGGAAAAAGACTACAAGCTATGTCGCAATACACAACGAGAACTTCTGTTGTAAACCTTTTGTATACTTTCCAGACCGTTTTGTCGTGACAGCAGTAAACGTATGTTTACGGGAAGTCGGTTAGGCTTATGAAAGAACGGTTGATACGAAAGAATCGGCATACTGTAATGTCATTTTCAGAAAGCGTGTCTTATCAGTCTGAAATAATGTTTTTTTTTCTTTTAATAATTTCTCGATGGTTGTCTTGAAATTAGATGTCACTGTCCTACCTGGTATGACCAGTTGTCCTTTGGCATCGATGGTCCGGGTACCTCCCGGTATGATGAGGTCCTTGCCAACTTGCCTGGAAAAAACAACGTAGAACTACGCATCCCGTCGGCATGCACGCACGAATACGTTTTGAACAGAAAACAGCACATAATAAATCACTACGAAAGCATTTGACCTGTTCCCTTTGCTGCAGGGTGCCCACATCCTCGCATATCTCCACACAGTTACGGGTACGTGTAGATTTTCTATTGCACACAATGCCAAGCCAAAAGTAATCCGCCTACTTAACGGGAAGTCTCACGGTATTGCCCTTTTACTGCTTTTAACGTTAGCGTAATTTGTTAGCTAAGCAGGCGCTAAGCATAAAGTGTAGCGACCGTGATTCGAGGTTAGAAGATACGCAAATAGTTTAACCCATAAAGGAGCATGTCACAACATCTCGAGCGCGACCGGAAATGAAAAAAAAATTGAGGAAGATGCATACCGTCTTTTCGAGATTAGTACCAGCCACTGCGGTGATCTTGTGGTTAGAGCGTCTACCTTTAATGGAGCAGGTACGCGAATCCGACGCTCGGTGCCGCTAGGTACCCGGCGTATTTTTGAACGGGCGAGTACTCTAAAAGGTGCGAGTACTCCAAAAGGTGGACTCTCGTCTATGCTCTCCTGTATATTTCACTCGGCCTTGTACGGAGCGTTAGAAATTTCACGTAACGTTTGACATGACACTGAAGGTTCTTGCTGGCAGAGTTCACCGCATACCACGTAATTATGTCGGTGGTGTTATGAAAAGGACACTAAAGAGCAAAACAATTTTTCGTTAATTAGTTAAATACAATTTCATTATCTCGAAAGCACCACTCGTACTGCCTTACTTTTACGACTCTTGATAAACGAGAAAATGCGCGAAAAAAAAAAAATACGGGTGGCGACGCCTACTTGAGTATCCCGCACCAAACGCCGTGACGTCATAGATTTTGAAGGCCTCTGCTGGGTCTTACGTAGCTCTTAGTCGATAAAAATTAGGTACATTGTCATCTGTATGTGCCATAAATTTAGCATACGAAGTTTCAGAAAATTTCATTCCGCCAATATCACGAACGTACGAAACGTACATTTTGAAAATTTTTGACGTCACGCGCGGAGATATCGGCGCGAAATTTAAAAATCAAATTTCAACCTCGATTTTCTCCGCTAATAATGAAGAGTTCTCAAAAGGTAGTTTGTCAACCTAAACGAAGAGATTGTTTTTTCTTTAGTGCCCCCTTAAACGTCTTGTCCTATACGTAGTTCACAGGGGCCTTAGGCCGTCCGCACTCACTTTATGATGCCATCTTCGATGTAGACGTCTCCATCGACGATCATGTCATCGTTGATTACCTTGCCGCCCTTTATCACCACACGGGTCTGGGCACTCTGCGATAAAGTAAACACTGGCGCATTACACCGTGATCTCACCAGACCTTGTGATTCGCAACAGCCGTCACTTCGCTGTTCTAACCATAACCCGCATTCCTCGCATCGAACACCGCGCACTTTCATTGCGCGATATTCTTATTTGCATGCACCCTTTGTTGCAGGTACCCTTTGCAACAGCAACCTTGACACTATAAGGTAAATTGTTCATCACGGACAAGACAGGTGCGTGTGTGCATAGAAATTGCGCAGTCTTGTTTCAGAAAGTCGGCTCTATAGTTTATTCCAGGCAACTGGTGTCGACGTAATCGTCAAACCTTAGCTGTTAAGTAACACTCCTAATATGGTCCCGGTTAAATGCTGGCTATATACAGGAAACCCTATGAAAAGTGTCACTTTCTCTGGCTATATCCTATAGCAGAACCTGATTGGGAGTGTAGTTACTAACGTCACGAAATGACAAAATTTAATAAGATCGCAGCATCGACACACATTGTTTGTTTCTGTTAAAACCTTCAGGAGACCGTTGCTTTCTCCACGTTGGAGTTAAACGGGCTGATTTAATTACCACACAACTTAACGAATCAAATAAAATCGCAGTGGACAATAAGTGTTGCATTTAACTGTAGTGTCACGTAGTTAATGAGACCATATTAATTAAACCGGACGATAAAACACCCTTTCCATCGGCGAGATATTGGGCGTGCAATTCCAAGGTTGAGGTTTCAACTATGGTATCAGTGAAAACCATCTCTGATTACAGTGTTGATGCAGTGACAGGGCAGTAAAAACGCACGCAGTCTCCTGCCCACACCGTACTCTCATCTCGCGCGGCGACATAACGTATACGTAAAAGCTTATTCTCTGGCGGCGCCTTGCCTTTGTTCTTTCCGCCTTTTACGGTGTCGGTCACTGCAGTCATCTTCGTGCAACCGCATAAAAGAAGGTAGTGCGTTGAACCTGCTCCATATATATAACTCGCACTTATAAAGAAAGCAAGCCGGCATTCCCTGAACACTCGACGTCGTACACTTGGGTACACTTAGAAATGTAACGCCGTGCCCGTTGTTTCGGATAACTAACCCCCGTATTCAGAAGCCCTCCTTGACTTGAACTTGAAACCGTCTTCAATGCAGAGCGTTTGAAATGCGTTTGTGCTGCCATGGCACCGCCTAAAGACAACGCGTTGTACTGCATTGAAGTCGTTGGCAAGTCAAGTTCAAGTCGAGCAGCGTTCCTGAATACGCGGGTAAGAGACAACAGTAAAGAAGACTGGCGGCTGCTTGCTATGAACGAGCGTCGCACTGCATGGTAGTGCTGCAGGGCTGTTAAAAAAAGCAGTGGCACACAGAGCGTCCAGCCGCCGACATTTGTCTCCATTATTAACAATCAACGCGAACGCGAGTCTGGCCAACCTAGCCTGCTCATTGCGCGGCCATGGGACGGGACCGACGAGGCACGCTCCTTGTTCCCAGCGTCCGCCCGGCCGGTGCGAGAAGGGCGCGAGCTAGGCAGCCGGCCATGCGAGACGTGCGTTCGTCAGAGGTCGCCTCCGTCGCGCTGTACGTCGCGAGAACAATGAACTGCGTCCCGCGTGTCTTTGTGTATAGTTGAGTTGTACAGTTTTTCTTTCGCTCTACTCGTGCCTCAACGACATGCTTGTTGCGAACGGCAGCGCGTTGCAGAAGGGCGGACGCACGTTGTAGTGCAGAAAGGATGTAGTGTTTATTAGGTACAATGCCGGAACGCGAGCTCGTTATGTCCGGTTGATTCTGTGACGGCAATGCGCCAGACGCTCGGTTCCGAAGGTCTAGTCTCTAACGTCACAGTATAAAGTATAACTGGACTGACGCCTTATTCAGTCAAGTATCGTGCATGCATTTTACCTTTTCAAGTTCCTGCGTCACGTTAAATAAACCAACTGGACAGACACCTCGTATTCCAGCACTGTTGCTTCTTAAAACCTTTGCCGTGTAAGGGATTAACACCAACATTGTCCTAAGCAAGCCTCTCTGTCCCAAGCTCCCTCTCGCTAGCGAGAAAAGTCCAGTGTGCTGGTGAAGCACGCAACGGTATAGACTATTTTACCTAGGACATGTGGGTTCCGCCACCTTGGGTTGTTAAGTCGATGTTTTCTGGTGTACTGTATATCATTACGTGAACCAATATATGGCATTGAAACGTCGTACGCACCAGCCCAACCGCTTTCATGCATATGCGTCTACCGTAACACTGTTCGTCTAGTTAAACATGCAAAAGGCAAAGGTTAACAGGCCGATATGGCGGCACAAAAACACATCAGTAAAATAGTATATACGTTGTCGTTCGACTTTGGATTGAACACGGAGGTTGTGTATATATTTCGCCGCATTTCTTTATATTAAGCGCCGAAGCTGCTTCGTATTTCTTTGTTTCATACGTGAACGTGCACACACACTCACAAACACGCGCACAACAAACACACCTTTCCGGAGATCCTGAGGGTTCTTGCATGACGGTAAATCAAACCTACAAAACCGGGCGGAAGACCGGTGCATTCAGTTGTCTTACAGCCCAGAGTGACGTAGATTGATTGGTGCACGCCAACCGGCATATGGTGAGAAACGAAGACTGATGAACCAGATGCCGGGCGCGGGCCACGCATGTGCTGCCATCTTCAATGCGGGTTACTTCCATTCTCGCGCAGCTTGTGCCTTGAACCAACTCGACACAATGCAACGCTTTCCTGCGGGCGCATCATCGAGCTCGCTGCTTGTTCGAGACGATACGAGCGCCCTCGCGGGTTGGCGGCGTCACGGCACGTGACTGTCACGTGATACTGTTACGTGAAAAGATATAACCACCCTTCAGAAACGAGTTGCGATTTGATTTCACTTCGGGGAGGTGGTTCAACTCAGCTTTACGACAACTATAGGCACAGCAGTGTGGAAGCCAGTGCTGCACGGACTCGACAGCTCTAGGGCGATTAATCGACAACTCGAAGCGCGTGGTACCTGTAAACATGCAACGATTTTTTTTTTTCAAGTCGTGGGTTGTCGCGCTGCTGAGCTCGAATGCGCGGGTTCGATTCCCTGCCATGACGGTCCCGTTTCTACGGGGATGAAGTGCAAGTGAAAACATGACAGGATGTAACAATGGGCTTGCTGGTGGTGATGCATCGTGCCAGCGCATTGTTCAGTCGTCTTCGCGTCTTTTTCGTGCAGGTTTTTTCAAGAAATAAGAATGCCGGAATACTTGGAACGTGTGCCTTCAAAAACCTCAATGGTCGAAATTTTCCGCGCCAGGCTCCACTACGGCACCCCTAAAAATCATGTAGCAGGTTTGGGCGAGCTTGTTCGTGGTCGAGCAGGGACTCTGTCCGTGTGTGTTGCTAGCGCTACGCCCCAACAGTTCGGCTTGATAATCATATCGTCGTTTTAAGACGTAAGAGCCCTACAATTATAATTATTATTCCTTCAGACGTTTCGCGTTAGGAAACATGTCGAGCAATTGACTACTCCGGTGGCGAGATAACGGTTACATACGGATGGAAAGCTGGGCGCACTTGTGTCGCTCGATGAAATCCCCCGCTTCGATGATTTCCTCAGCACGTACTAGACCGAGGACGCCCCAGGACTGTGGTACACAGTAAAGAAGAGCCATAGTAGGCAGTCGGGGAGAAGGCCGGGGGGGGGGGGGGGGGGGGTTGCTGCGCTTTGATGTCGCGGCCGAGTGCATCAGCCAACAAAGGCGCGCGAATGAAGAGCCTCGCCGCTCTCACGGCGCTGTCTACAACAAGACAAGCCCTTATCGCGACAACTATACACCCCGAGCACGGTCGATAAATAAAAGTGCGCAGCTAGAGATGGCGTACCGCCCAGGGAAGACCTTCATGCTGTGTGCGCGCCGCAGTGCCCGAGTGGCCGGGAACACCGCTTCCAGCCGTCGAGCGTAGTGCGCGTGGAGCTCGTTTCGGGAGATACGTCTCGATTTATCACTGCCATCTTACCAATATCACTGGCAAGAATGGTCTATGTAATCGTGTGCACGTTGCTTCTTTGCTTAATCATAACCTACAGGGGTCGACGTGACTGTAGATAGGACAGCGCAATATTTCGGCGGGACACAAAGGAAACAGCTCCAACCTTCAAGATCAACTGTGGGCCAAAGTCCGCGAGGCGGCGAGGAGACGGGGTCTCCAGTCCTCCTCGGGCGAGGCCTAGGCCCAGGCCACGAATTTGCCGGAATTTGTAGTAAAGTTCTTACCCCCACCACCCTCCAGCTGTAGTTATGATACCAAAGCGTCCAGTCTTCGACCTTGGCTGTGGACGACGTGAAAGGAACTTGACAGGCGAGCTAACGAACCTGCCAAACCGCTATAATTTTTGTGTTGACGTCAGTGGAACCACCATGTCGCAGTACCAACATGGTGACACGCGAGGTTTGAGATGTCATTATGTTCATGTTATAACTTATCAGTACACTACATGCAAATTCTTTCGCTATGGGTGCCAGATGACCAATAGCATAAGTTTCAGCCGCGTTGATATCATTTTGAAGCAAGTGAACCGCAGCGTGGTTACGATGCGGTGTCCTCGTCCTAGCCGCCATGTTGGAGTACCAATGCGTACGGAGCTGCGTCCATGACACCTCGCACAAGCTCAATGGAACTAAAGATATCAGGCGCGATGATGAGAAGCAGGAAAGGAGAATATCTATCTATCTATCTATCTATCTATCTATCTATCTATCTATCTATCTATCTATCTATCTATCTATCTATCTATCTATCTATCCGTCCTTCCCGCCTTCCCTCCGTTCTGTTAATTTGCCTCCCGTAGCCGCACTTCAATAGAAGCGAACCAGTACCTGGCTTCTTACTACATACTGCGTGCGCGACACCACGCGCCAACTATCAGAGCAACGTGCAGTGGCAGGCGTGGCGTTGATAGGCAAAAAAATAGATCTCTCTCTCTCCCCCACTACGTTGCTTCCGTAGCCGCACTTGAATAGAAGCCTAC